TGCCCCAGTGCATTTGTGAGCAGGGAAACAGTGATGTGTGATGCACTGTCTGGTCTAGAGTGCTTTAAATCATTTCACAGTGCTTTTGAAGTTCCTTTGATTCTTCCTCTGTGTCAATTATAAGTTCAAACTACTCTACTGACAATGCACTGCTTAATGATCCGTCACTCCTGCTTTTTAACGGAGCTTTTAAGAAAGTTAAGACGTGCAATTCAGTATGAATTTGAGACTGTGGTTAAAGAATGTAAACTAAGTCACAGTGTAATCAATAAAAGAAAGATAGGCTCATTCTCTTATGAAATAACCTTGACAACTTCTGAAACTGAAATGACTCAACATTAAAGCTACTTCATATCCCAGTCTAGGCCGAGTCTCTAGTCACATCACCAGCAAATGTTTGGTGCCATTTTAAACACGTTCCATTTAAGAAGACATTTTTGGGCGTTTCAACAGCAGCACAGATTTTGGAGAAAATGTTCCCCTAGCTACAAAAAATATGTTGACACAGCGCATTATAAACTAATAAATCCCTCCTGCATCTCCAGTAATCTGTAAAGAGGCCAAATAATACCTGGAGGCGAGATACTGAAAGAGAAAAAATGGTGCCATGCTAAGCAAGAATCCCTTAGTTGATGAGCAGTTAGATTCTCAAGCTTAGGCAACACACCTGGAAATGAGTGCTCTATCACCTCCTGTCCAGAATCACCAGATATGAAGGATATACATTTTGCTGATGAGGCTCAATAGCATATACCATTCAGACCATCTCATACAAAGTTCCTGAGATACCGTATCACCACATGACCACAGGAATTACACCTTAACACCAGGACACAAATTGGCTATAGGAGCAAAGCCAAGCTAAGCTAAGAATTCATTAATAACAGGTGCTGGTTAAAAAAAGGAATGCAGATTATCTAGAAGGAGTGACTCTGTGTGAAAAAAGTTCAGAATTGATATTAGTCTACACCCTGCTTGACTATTCAGCACATTACCACCTTTTATCACCAGCAAAATAAAATATAATCCCATAGTTGTGATCATATGTGTGTGAAATAGCCTAAAACCAGCTTCCAGTAAAAGTGATGTTATTTCATTAAGTAGCTACCAAAAAACAACTTGAGGAAAAGTAAACAAACAAACAAACATATATGAAATTTTTCCAGACGTCAACCAGACACTATTCTTCTCCTCTGGGGATGCTTTAGTCTAAAATAAAATGCTAAAGCTTGAAAAATAAATGTCTGAACAACAGCAAAGTAGCCCAAGTGACATAACCAGTATGTGGGCAGCATAACCAGATGTGGGCAGTAACTAGTTACAGTTACTAAGGCCTTGTTCAGACTGCCAGCCCAAATCTGATTTGTGGCACATCCAGATTGTATCCGGTTTGAATTTTGATAGTCTGGACAGCAAACAGCCTAATGAAACTACACCTGGAGGTGGTTTGAAATATAACTCCAAATGGATTTTCCATCACTCACAACACGACAAACAAAAGTGATGTCAAATCCAGACTAATGGAAGTGCTGGGATTCAAGAAGAGCACCAAAGATGCCATAGAATTCTGAAGCGTTTGGAGGGCGAGATCATGTACCTTCATCTCTCCTGCATCTGTGCATCTGTGTATGAAATCTGTTTCACTAGCGCAGCTGCCTAGTTACGGCAACCCATGCAGACAGGTTGCTGATGTCTGGACACACAAATCCGATTTGCCTACAGTCTGAAAGTAACTTAACTTACATGTACTCAAGTAAAATGCTGATGGATTTTATTTTTTCGTGAGTATATTCAAATTTATTTTTTTACTTCTACTCAACTACATCTGTGAGGAAGGGAATCTACTTTTTTACTTAGTTACATTTTAGTCATTCACATTTAGCTACTAATTCCTTTTTGTATTTAATTTCTTTCTGTTACGTAGATTCAGGTTACGCAGGTAACAGATCTGCAAGTTACTCGACTTTTTTAGTAGTGTTTGAATTGCTACCTTTGAACTTCAACTCAAGTTGGTTTTTGAAAAGATAGTTTTACTTTCACTGAAGAAGGGGTATTTTACTTAAGTATGGTTTTAAGCTAGTCTACCATCCTCTTAACAGAATGAAATTAAACTCAGAAAAAAGCAGGTAAGCAGGTAGACAGAGTACAGTTGTAAAAACAGGACAGCTCTAAGTTGTCATATTAAATAAAACATACATTGCCATGATCACTGATCTGTCAACAAAAAATGACATATTATATGTCAGGGTACTAGAATTTGTCAAATTCACACCAGTGTGAAAGGAACTTAGTGGGCGACAGCTGTAAAACAGTGCAACAGTTGTATTTTTACTTGATGCTCTTAAATCCGGAATGAAGTCTGAAGTGTGTATATATCTCAAACAGCACATGTTTACCTATGTGCTGTTTATTATTGTTTTTAATGGGTTTATTCTTGGTAAGGGGAAAACTGTAACAAATATAGGCACCACGTCTTTAAAGACATTGTAGAAAATGTGAAATATAAGTGCAGCGAAATGAGAGTCAGTAGACAGATAAACGAAACATGCAGAAAAATCAGTTGATTTTGACTGAGTTTTTGTGCACAAAACAAAAAAAAAAAAAAACAATCAAAAAAGTCACAACTGTACTCTGTCTAGGCCTAAAAAGAACTACTTACACTACACTATTACTATCTGCTTGTGACTGAGTAACGATACTGAATTGACACACTCAGCTTTCGCCATCAAAGGGGAACTCTACCGATTTTCAAAAATTCTACATAATTTAAAGGTTGAGTTGTAAAGGTCATTCAGAGTGTTTTGGTGTGAAATGCTCTGTTCTAGAGAAACTTGCAGAGTCAGAATTGTTCACAGTGGTGGTGATGTCTGAAGAGTTTAATGCCTCTAAAAGCTTCCTCACAGAAAGTTATTACATGAAATGGTTAGATATCGGCTGCCTGATGTCTGACACATTGCTTTTTAAAAGTCTTGGCTTAAAATGTATTTTAATCCATTAATTTTAACTCATTCATAGTGGAGGGGTACATGCAGGTTGCTGTAAGGCAAAATAGTCCCCTAAGAAACCTTATTTATGTGGGGGGGTGGTGGTGTGGCCAAGGAAAACTAGCCCAGGCGTTAAAAAACAACAACAATAACAAAAAAAATTACATAGAAAAACTCGGCAGACACGTACACGTAGTTGACTGGTGGTTTTGGTTAGTAAATGGCTATATGTGTGTTGTAGACATCGAGACCACTGGTTACTATCCCCACAAATAAATCTGTAAGTTTCTCTACAATCAACCTTTCACGCCCAACCACTCTGAAGCACTCCTTTTACATCTCAAAGACTGATTTATTTACAAAATTTGAAAAACGGGTGGAATTCCCCTTTAAGTAGGGCAAAAGTCACCCGCTCTGCTGCTGCGACATCGTTTTATTTACAACCGAGTGTAACGGACACCGCGGGCCAAGTGGGCGAAGGGGGATGCTGACGTCATGTCAACTTTTCCAAGCACATTATTACTTTCCAAACATCGCAAACGGCATTAATTCAACTGTCTTAAACACACGGCGGAACTGTTGTCCTACCAATCTGCTCAATAGTATTATCTAGAGTTAGCAGCAGTGTAGTTACCCTCATATGGGGACTGTCAGTAACTTTAGAAGTCGTAATGTCGAGAACATCTGCACGGAGGTCCACCAAAAACTTCACTCCCCCCTCAACCCTGCTTATATGGCTGAGTAAGTGTCTGTATCTGGGGGTTAAACTGTAACGGAGTCTGTCCTCCACTTGCAGCACTGTGGCCGAGTCCCGCAGCTGCGTGTCCAGCAGTTTCACTGCCAGCTCCGAGACCCCTCTGTGGTCCACTCCGAACTCCTTTGACAGTTTTTCGAGAAACGCCAGTTTCTGTTCTTTGTTCAGCTTTCTGTAGAAGTACATGAACTCCAGGCTGTTGGAGTCTGGCGGCGGGGGGGACTTGTCCCTCGTCTCGTAGGTGGGCAGTGGTGTCACGGTCCTGCGCAGGAGTTCCTCCATGCTCCTCTCGCCGTTGAGCCCTGTGGAGGACCACCTCGGCCGAGCGCCTCCACACTGCCTCCCTCTGAGGCTCTGGACGCTCCTTAAAACACACCAGTACCGCCAAGCGCACAGAGGAGCGGCGAAGCGGATTGGTGACATCGCACAGTCGAAACACAAACCGCAGCTCAGCACCAAAATAAAACAGCCATCTGACCTCCCGCTCTCCGTGATCACTTCCGGTTTCTTAAAGGGGAAGAGCACGTTTTATTCATTCGCTGTTTTCAAGAGTCCAAATACGCTTTTTAATCTTTTAAATGAATGCGATGTTGTAAATTGCGTCCTATTAGACAAATGTTTTTTATTTAATGAGTCAGTCATTTTATGGGCACCTATTTGGTAGTACATGATGTAACTCACTCATATATATATATATATATATATATATATATATATATATATATATATACATATATATATAGGGGGTCTTGAAAACAACGCCCCAAAGCACATACACTTATTAGGTAGAATAATACTTTTGGCTTACTTAGGCCAAAGACCATATAATGTAATTGTATATTTTGTATGAACTGTACCTGTATTTAATTATACATTTCATATTACAAGCTTCAGTAATCCTTTCTTATTAGACTGGGTTCAAAGAGTTGAATAAAACATCCTTTCGCACCAGCGTTGCACATCTGTTAGTTACTCAAACTAGTGGGCATTGCTAGTACACTTGATGAGCTGAAGATCAGGCAAAATCAGGAAACTCAAGAAATTAAATTTTACTAAACTTTTCTACAAACCTTGAATCTACAAAAAAATTAAATGTTCAGCTTGACTGACCTACGTGTTTTCCACTAACGATTTACTGTTTTGCATTTCTGTCTCAGGGCAGACACACTGTGGTGAATCACTACAACTCGTAGAGCCGCATTGAGTCTAGAATGCGAGTTATCAAAGGCTCGGCCCGTCACGCGGCAATCACACAGTTCGAGTTCCCGGATGTCCGTCGTCGAGCTTGTAGAGTGAGTGCTGCTCCAAGATGTTTAGATCATGTTATAATTTGGCATATTAAAGTCTAGCATTCTATCTGTCGTTCAATGCCCACTGAAAAATAGTGAGTTTTCAAGGACATTTAACGATTTAACACAACGCAAACACATCTTCAGTACAATTTGAATGGCTCAGCTGTTATAATGTTCGCTAGCGTTAGCTAGCTAACAGAAACATGCTGAACACCAAGTACCTAACGTTACCACGCGTCACAGCTCTCCATTACCTCATTCTTTTCGTTTTCCAGATTATTTATGTTCGTTAGTCATATTTAAAGGCTGAGCACTTCGTACAATTTTAATGATATCTTCTCTGTGGGAAAAGAGATACTGCTGAGTGGTTGCGACGAGACTTTGCTCGTTTTGCTCGTTTAACCAGAGAGTTTGATAGCAGTAATGTTACTCTGCCTTGCCTTTAACCTAGCAAGAAATAGGATGGAGTACCAAATGACACTTTTCACAAATATGGATCACTGAGTTTGCGCTAGAAAATCATACATGCCGCTCCACCATCTGAATGTGTTTGACTTAATTTGTCCCAAGTGTTAGATGAGCCTCTCTAATCACAGTGGGTCACATTAATAAACCTGGGTTAAGCATAGCTTAGCCTAGGTTGCAGAAACAATGATACAAACCTTCTTTAATCTTGATTTAGGCATAGACTTAGTCTGGGCCTGAGATACTGACCCAAAATGCCTGTATAAGTTTGTATTGAGTGAATGTTTGTATCTATAGTAGGCAGGTTGTGCACATACATTTATATTCCATACACATTGCTGCTGGTATTATTGAATACCCTGCTGTGCCTTTGTGTGTAGTTTTAGCTGGATGTGCTTATAAGTGATAAGTGTGTATAAGCCTGGCATCAGCACTGAATGATGGCTGAAAAAGACAAAGGTGGGAAGGCCAAGATGAAGAAAAACAAAGAGACAGGACTAAGTGATGACCATTCCAATGGAGACGTACTCCGGTGAGTAACATTTAGGAACAGTTAGGAAACCAGTTTGATGTGTCTCTTTCCATTACCCATCCAGCACTGTTGTAAGAGTGAATACTCGTACACTCAGGTGATGTACCTTCTACATCCTCATCAGTCAGTTTGACAGTATGACAGTACTAGGAAAGTACTGGGACATGTGGGCCACTTGGCATTAATATAGAACTGTGTGTGCATTTGGTGCTCAGATAAGAAACACACACAAGTTAATGGCAGGTGTGTTCTGAAGTGCATGCACAGTTTGTAATGTGATGGGATCTGGGTGACCACCCGTGGTGGTCAGACTTGCCCAATGTCTTGGACAGTGCCCACCCCCCCCCCGTCCTGCTCCCCTACGAATGAAACAGTGTTGGCCCACAGAATGGAATATGCAAAATAAGATTGTCAGCTGCTTCCCCAGTCTGTCTCTCTGTCAGTGGCTTTCCCTCTCTTTCTCCCTTTGCTCTGACACAAAGACGTGTCTAAATGTGTTGTTATAAGAAAAAGTGGAATCATTTTTCCACTGGAAAAAAACAAAAAAAAACAAAAAACACATTAAGCTTCTTTTCATACCATGCACTTTGTATTCAGTACTCTGGTCTGTGTAATATTTGTTATTTGAGTGAAAGTAACCAGAAATTAATAGCATCACAAACAACAGCTGTGCATTATTATACACAACACTACATTTTGCAGCAGGAAACGCCTTCCGCGTTGGAACCAAAGATGGAGACAAATTGAGCTCCTGAATAAATGATCTGCACCAGCAATCGTTAATCTAACCAAGTGTGAAGTGAGTGGGTGGGAGCTTGCATTCATTATTTGGAGCATTGTACTCCATCTTTTTATGAATAAATTAATTTAGCATGATATCTGATGCATTATATGGGCAGAAAAACGCAGGCCGAGCCATCCATCTCTGGCGTTTGTAATTAATCAGACGAACTGGAGAAGAATAGACACCTGTAACTGTTACTGACAGCAGCCTCTTGTGACGAGGCCTGCTGGCATGCTGTCACACACTCCAGTGAAGGGAGAGGATTGTTAGAAAACAGGAGGAAATGCAGCCTATATTCATCTGTTTTTTTTCTTGTTTACTAGCATGTTCCCCCTCTGATTCCAGTCTTTCCTTAACTGTTTAATGTCTCTCTTTCTCTCTCTTTTTGTCTTTGTGTAGTGGGAAATCCAATAAGGCGAAGGCCAAAACCACAGAGAAGTCTCAGAGGGGACAGAAGAAAACAAAGCTTCAGAAGGTAGTTTTTTACTGTCATAACAGTTTCTTCTCTTTCTTACTTCCGGGAGAGTGACCCAAAGTTCAGCTTAATTAAGAAGCCCAATTAGTTTGAAATGAATGCTTATTTGTGATAATTGGTCTTAGAGGTCCTGAGTAGCCTAGCCCCCTATGCAGTTATTAGTAAAACGCAGATACTATGCCTGATCCTCAGATGCATTTTACGATCTCTCAGTATGAGCATGCCGTGACTTTCCTATTATGCAAGAGTACTTTTATGCAATCTTATCCAGCTAGAAATTGCCAGCTAGATATTTTTGCTTTGTGAACATGAGACTGTTTGGCAGTCCTGGCAGCCTGCTTGCCTCATATGATCCTGCAGCCGCTGCCAGCCAATAACAGCTCCAGTGCTCCAGCATTGGGTTTCTCTCTAATGAGTCTGGACGTCAGATAACGCTGCCTCTGTGTAGTGGACCTGTAACTGTTTTTCATGTCAGTTTAATGGACGGTCGAGGGTCTTATCTTAGCAGAGGGGTTTTATTTTGTTTCCTTTCTTTCCTTTTCTTTTTTTTTTTATTAATTTTTGGGTGAAGTGCTTGACTCAGGCTATTTACCCCCTTGACTTAGGTCAGTCTTGTTTGTTCTAGAGTTTATAGCATGGTATCTCTAGAAAGCCTGGAATTTTGTAGATTAAATTTCTCTTCATAGAATACTAATGAAAGTGGGTTACTGGAGGTTTTTTGGACTAGCTAGCTACATTGTTTTCCCTTGAAGCAAGGGTAGCTTCATGTATGTGAAAAGAATTGATAAGAATATCAAGAATATCATAACAGTCATCAGTGCATGGAAAGCATGTGCTGTAATGTTACATCTGTAGATTGTTATTGTGCAACGATTTTGGGAGGGATATTCCAAAACTATTTTGAAAGTCATACAGTCATGACTGGGTGCTTAAACGGCAATTCCACCATTTTTTCTGAATTTCTGCATCGTTCAGTATATTTAGATGCAAACAGAGGGATTCAGAGAGTTTTGATGTGAAATGATGCATTGTAGAGAAACGTAAATGTCAGTTGTGGTGATAGAAAACAGTGGTCGTGATGTTCATAACGCAATTATAGCTTTTTTTTATGTACTATCCAAAATGACCAGTGTTCTTGGAAGTGTTTTTATATGTAATATTGATAATGGTAAAATATTAGTAAATGTGGAAAAAAAAAGTTTTCTTTGGGTGCTATTTTTCCTTACAACACTCCATCTATGAATGGATTTAAAAATGTTCTAGCTTAATTCCTTATTGCAAAACTGTCATAAAACAATTTCTCAGTCGTCAAGAAATGCATAACCTGCAACCTGTGATCTGTAACCATTTTGTGCAGTAACCTTTTGTAAAGTAGGTTTTTGAGGCTTTAGACTCTTGAAATGTCTTTAGACTCTTTAAATTTCTCTCACAACAACTGTGAATAATTCTGATTCTAAGTTTCTCTAGAATGGAGCATTTCACATCAGACCACTCTGAATGACTTTGTCTACATCTTAACAAATTAATTTTGCAGGAATTCCCCTTTAACTTTACAAGGCAGAGTACTTTTAAGTGGTGCAGATCTCTTACCCTAGCCTAGCTTTAACTGCCAGTTTGGTGAATAATATCTTCTGAAATGTGAACATAATTCAAAATTATGTTCAAAGGAAACAAGTTTAGAACACCCTAAGGAAGGTTCTCGGTTGTGTCTAGCAGATTTAGAAATTCTTCAGCAGTAGTAATTAAGAGTGGATGAGTTTATTTATGCAGGAAATGTGTAAAGATGAGGTTGTCAAAACAGATGTTACAATTAAAATCCATCATTACAAATTACCGCCTGTCTAGAACTGATTTTCAACAGATTTGATATTCTGCAGAGAAAATGGGAAGGATGGAAAAGACAGAAAAGCAGAAAAAAATGTCAAATAAGAGAAAGTGGTCATAGCTAAGATGGGGAAACATAAACAGCCATGTGTAAGAACATTTTGGTAAGACTGCTCACCTTTCATAAAGAAAAAATGAGTAGGAGCTTTTCTCCTTGTGTTTAGTTTTAGTTTAATACTGACAAATATCAATTTAGAATATAGATCTTCGATGACCTCCTGTTTCTGAAGGTTCGTACTTTAAACAGAACAAAGTGACATTCACAAATGGAGTTGTCACTTTGAAAAAAAGACTGTGGTTTTTGGTTTTTCATATAAAAAGTACTTTAGTGTAAAAATATGTGTTTCATTTCCACTTCAGATGAAGAGCCCTAAAAAGGAGAATACAGACTTTGAAATAGCTGATGACACAAGGTACTGAAAAGCTTTTTCTTCTGTTGTCATCTCATTCAGTTTTGGCTGGATTTCACTGCCATCCTGTCATCTTTGCCGTACTGAATTGCAGGATCCAGGTACAAGCTTGATCTGGAGCTTTTCCAGTAGCCAGCAGCTGCACTTGGAAAGGAGCTGGAGTCCATTTCTAATTCAATTGCAGTCACATTTTTTGCCTGTGATGGAAATTAATTCTGATGATTTGGATGTCCACAATTGTGGACAATATCCGTTCTGATTTTGCCTGCTATATTGGCTGTCTTTCAGGAAATTAATGTCTTTATTGGGAGAAAAGCTGTGGTGTGTCAGAAAAGCTATACATGATAATCCTCTTTCCTGAGGAGATGAGCAGTGTTGGGAGGGGGAGGAGGAGGATGGTGATGTCGACCACACATTCTCTCTCTCTTGCTTGCTTGTTTGCTTTCTCCCTCACTTGCTCTTGTGTTTTCTCTCCTGCTTGCTCACTCGTGCTCTCTTACTTTCTTACTATTTCCTCCTGTCACTCACACTGTCTTGCTCACTCTCTCTTGTCTTTTCTTGCTTTTCCTCTGTCACTCTCTCTCTGTCAGTTTCTTAAACTTTCCTTCTTTTCCAGTCTCTCTTTCTCTTTCCATCTCTCTTTCTCTCTCTCTCTTTCTTATTTTCTCTTGTGCGTTCTCTCTTCTGTTAGCTCACTCCCTTGCTATTGTTCTCATTCTCTGTTGTTCCCTTTCTCTCTTTTTGCTGTCTGACTTTCTTACTGTTTCTCGTGCTCTTTCTTGCTCTTTCACTCTTGCTGTCTCTCGCTGTATCGCCCTCTCTCTTTGTTTCTTTCTCTCTTTTTCTGTTTTTCACTGTAGCACTCTTGTTTTTGCTTGCTCTCTCTTGCTGTCTCTTGCTTGGTCTCTCTCTTCCTGTCTCTGTCTTGCTCACTCTCTTTCTTGCTGTGTCTTGCTCTCTATTGCTTTCTCTCTCTCTCTCTCTCTCTCCCACTCCCCAAGCACCTGAGACTTGACTTGCTCTGTCCTTGCTAAAACAGTGATGGTATGCCTCTTTAATCACAGAATGGCACAATCAGACCCTTTTTGTAAATCAGCCGCAGCTGACGATTGCCAGAGGGAGGCTGATTTTCAGGGAAGAGGTCAAATGTTAAAATGATAATGCTTTTAAAGTACAACTACTTGCCTAATCTATGCGGCAGGAGATGTGGAATTGAGTGGAACCGGTCGCTGTTATGGTGCTTGTAATTAATTTATTTGGTTCAGTCACCCTTCCGTCATTCCAGCCTTGCTGTACGGCAATCGAAGCTGCTTTTCTGCAATTATTCTGGTGTCTAATTGCTGTAATTATATAATTATCATCAGTACCGATTAAGCAATATTGGGTAATTGCTGTAATTATGCCCTTGCCACTGGACAATGAATGGTTGTCTTTTAGTTTTTAAGTTAAGAACTTAAAGACCCCTAATGAGTGTTTTCTACTTCGTTTTTCTCCCTCTCTTTTCTCTCTGTCTTTTTTTGGCAGGTTTCAGCTAAATGTGAAAGAAGAGGCAGATGATGGCGACTTTGTGACAGAAAAGAAGGGGAAGAAAAGGAAAAGGAAAAGAGATTCTGTAACTGGTCCTTCTAGCTCTTCAGCACTTTCTGTGTAAGTGAAGGAGGCCTTCAAATGTTATTGTGAGCTTGTGCCATAAAAAAGGAATATGCAACAGAAAGTTTGCTTTGTGCGAAACTTCTCCTTTTCACCAAACGTCTTGACAACAGTGAAGGTCATGTAACTTCTTGCATACATAAGCAGATATATTTAATTATAAACACAGTGGATTTCTGATTCATAGACCTCATTTTGTAGTTCACCATTAGCATTTTGGGACTGGCACTAAGCTTTCTTTAGAGGAAAAATAAATGTTATCACTGAATATGCCTGAATGTTCTTACTAAACTCATAATCTTAGAGGTCTGTTTTAAGAGACATTAGACCACAGTTCATTGTTGAGTAATTAAAACACCTAACTTCTCTTTGCAAACTTAGTTATTTACAAAGCCTGAAATGTTAAAGTCAGATGTGTCTGGTCAGATTCTGTGGGAGTTTAATAATTGTATGTACATATAATGTCACGCGCAGCCTCGAAAAGAAGGTACAGCTTGATTAGGTCTCAAATGCTCAATCAACCTTGTACTGATGATGTAATTACAGTAGTAGACAAATCAGTTTCATCCTCTGAAGACATGTCTTATTCTGACTTATATTTTGACTGAGTTCTCTTTGAATATTCTTTCAACGTGCTTGCAGTCATCAGATTCATCTGCTTTTGGAAGGGGACCAAAGCACAAACAGACTGTACAAAATATTCTGCCACACGTTGCGTGAAATTACACGTTTCCACCAGAGGTCTGCAAATCCTCAAAATCTAACATAGTGTAGCTTTAAATGCAATATTTAAGTGGTATAATGAAATAGTTTGGATCTGACCTGATGTACGTCGCCAAGTTTGCAGTCCAAACCCGACCTGAGCCCGACAAAATTCTGTCAAAACGCAATCAACTTCAACCAGAGACCAGATAAATCTCCACTTTCCTAATGATGGTGCCAGTTAAGTTAGCTTATAGTGCAGTTACACAAGGATAGCTGTAAGCAGAGTATTGATAAGTACAAGTAAAAATGAATAATCCAATTATCAGCTATCCAAAATTCATCAGTCACAATCTTCAAGCAACAGCTCAGAAGTTTTCAGTCTGGATAAACTTAACATAATATCTCATCCTTATGACCTGCCTTGGTAGACCATACTATCAATAATAAAATTGACGCCAGTTTAAAAATCGTTTACGATAATAAAAGTAAGGAGAAAGATTAAAGTAGTGAGAAAAGTAAAGCAGGGATATATGCAAAATATGTTTAAGGTGAGAGACAGGCTGTGATACAGATTATTATATATTTTGAGATTTCTGGAGGTGTGAAAGCAGTAACTGTCACAGCCCTGTAGCTGGAGATGCAGTCAATTTTAAATATATTTTTCTTGTTTTTTGGTTTTGTTGTAGCCGGATGCATTGCTTCACATTTAATTCCAACCGGACAAGGTTAATGCACATATTATGCTTAGGGTATACATAGCAGAAACAGTAAATAGGTAATCAGGCATATGTATGGTTGCCTAAACACATGACCAGCAGGTAAAATGACTGTTCTCATTTAGGCTGTTCTACACTTATTCTCATTGGCCTCTTCTTGCTTGCATTGGCAAAATAGGAACTACTGTCGCTATAACTTGGTCAGTCACTGTGTGCCTACAAATGTGAGTGTGAACCCAACAACTGTCGAGGGTGCTCAGAAATACTACTTAGCTGCTCTAAGAAAAACTGCTCAGCCCGCCATTTGTTTATAACAGCTCTTTGTGTTCTTAACACCAGTTGATGTGGGTGTATTTTGGAGTTGAATGAAAGTGGAGTGCGTCACTCTGTTTGCAGGCTAGTTTTTTTCTCGTCATGTTTGACATGCAAGCTGGCAGCCTTTCAGTGGTGGAATGTCTGCTTTGTACAGAGAGCGCAATTCTATTTATTTGTGACATCACAAAGCTGCTCTTTGAAGAATGTGTGATGTCGTTAAGAACAATGTCTTCTTCAGAGGATTATTAAAGATTCCGTGGGAGCGTCTAGTCCACAGCCCAAGCATGGAGTGGACACTGGAGTCGGAGATAGAGTACTGGGAATCTCAGTTTACAGGCCCCCTCACCTGGCTGTGTGTATACTATGCCTTCTTGTACTTTTGTACTGTAATGCAAAGGCTGACATGGGTGATAAAATGATAATGACCAAATTTTAACGTTTTCCGATGTTGATTATGTCTATTTAAGTTGTGATAAAATCAATGCAGTGTTTGCAGCAAAGTCTTGAACTTTGAAAAATCTCTACTTTGGTGCACTAAGTGACTGTGCACATTTCACTTGGGTGGAAGGGAGAAGTCAAGCTGTTCGCTCATAACAGCACAAAGTTGTTGGGAGAATTTGGAGAGTTAGCTAGCTGGTGAATGTAGAAAACTATTTGTTTGAGTTTAACATATTATTAACATAATTATTACGTTATATAACATGTTCAGCTATTCAGCAATTGAACAGTAATTGAGCATTAAAGGAATGGTCCAGTCAAAAATGAAATTTACCCAATTTTTTTTATTTACCCCAGGTGTAGTCAATCGACTGAGGCATGTTTGCAGTCCAAATTTTGCTTCTTTGTTTTAGAACTTAGAGCAGTGAGGCTAACAAACACTAGAACTTAATAGTCACTCAAATAGCCCAAATCATTTCTATTAAAATCCATCACTAGAACTTGTAAACTTCTCAAACTGCTTCCAGGTCTTCATCAAGGTTGTGCTAACTTCTTGATGTGGTTTAGGACACAGTATCACTTAAGGTGAAGTATAAAAATGAACAAAATTGCTGGTTGAGACGTTTTGGGAGTGTATTTCTGCAGAAACTATTTGGATATTTGAGAGACTATTGAATTGGGGTGTTTGTCAGCAATGTTAGCCTCATACACTGTTAGAAATAAAGGTGCTGTGCACATTTTTTGTTCAACAAGGTTCAAACGGTGTAAATGTACCCTAAAAGGTAAAACAGTGGTTTGAAGGTCTAAATGTGCACCTTAAATGTCTTTTCCAGGTGAGAAGTATGTATTTCTACTTTTTCATAAACTAATCTTTTAAAACAGAACAATAAAATAAAAGGCCTGGAGATGAGACGGGGTGTGTGGAGTCAATACAACTTAGTTTTAATGGATTATAGTGCAATTATGTTCCCTGTACTGAGATGTACCCTTGAGGGTACCACCCCAGTGACAAGAGGGGTACTGCACCAGTGACCGTTTCATACCTATTTTTCTGGGAGTGTAGCTCCAGTTCTAAACTAAAGGCGCAACATGTAGACTCCAAACATGTCTTGGCTGATCGACTACATCTAGGGTAAGCGGAAAAAAAAGGGTTTAGATTTTTTGCTAAATCATTCCATTAAAATATGCAGAAGTGTATTTTCTGTTGAGGATGTTTTAACTTATTATCACTTAGAAAATCAAGAAAACGTGGAATTTGACCAGTGGCACCCAAACCAATGTTTACCAATTTTGAACAATAAGGAAAAATACTCGGTGCTAAATTCTTTTGGCCATATCACCAAGCCCAATATCATTATTAGATTACATTAAGATACTTACATACTGTGTTACATACTGTGTTACTTACATACTGTGAAACAAAATGTTCTTCTTCCCTCAGGCCTGTGAAGAAGAAAAAGGTGGAAGAAGAGGGCGAGGGAAGTTCTGGTGTGGAGAAGAAAAAGAGAAAGAGAGAAAGCAAAGAGCAGGTAGACTTTGACATTAGTCATAGACGTAGACAGACTACTGAATTGCTGAATTTACTGAAAAGAAAGTTTCAAGACTTTAGCTATAGGCTTCTACAGTGAGTAAGTGAATTTGTCACGTAAAGTATTGAGTTTCTAGCATTGATTTTGAAGGGATTTGTCCAGGTGAGTTCTCTTTGTTAAATTATACCTTTCCTAGGCATTCTGTAGATAATTTAGTAGAACTTACTTCGGATAATTAAATGTTTCATTATGTTTGGAAGACAATGCCTAGTCCACTTTAAAAAAAATAATGTTCCCCTCACCGTTGACTTTGATAACTTTTTTCTCGCAGTCAAGTTGGAGGAAAAGACTCTCATCAAAATCACAAAAGTCTCTGATTGCCTATTCTGAAGAATGGTCATGCGTTGAGCAATTGCAAGCTTTTTCTCCTCATTGATAGTAATTTTCACACAGCCTGAACAGCTCTGGGTGGTACAGAGTGTTTATTCTTAGGTTGAAGTAGTTATTTAAGTTTTCCAGATATGGAGGACAGAAGCATTTCTCCAAATTTTGCAGGAGAGGGTGCCATGTGCTCTGCGCTGTGGTATGTCTGATGCATGTTTTTTGTGCCTGCAGGTTGCTAAGGTTAAAGCTGTTTAATTTTTCTCCTGCAGTAGAAGAAAAGAAGCTTTTCCATTTTATGTCCAAGTTGTACATGTAGAATAAGTGCTGATGTTCTCTTCAATCTTTCAGAAAGTAAAGAAGGAGGAGGGAGAACAGCCTGTCACAAAAAAGAAGAGGACGAAGGAAGAGATTGCAGCAGCCAGAGCCCTCAAGATCAAGAAGAAGGAGGAAGAGGAGCAACAGCGATGGCGCTGGTAATGTGTTTGTATAGACGAATGACTGTTACTGCGGTTATGCTTTGGCATGCTTCAAGCGAGACATGCAGGAGAATTCAGGATCGTCTCCATGAGTGGAAGACAAACAGAATTTGAGTTACCATCGAAAGCCTTCACTTAGTCTCCTAAACTCCATGCTTTTTATTTATCTTATACGCAAGTTGATCAGTAATGATAGTAAAGTTTTTTTCTGCATACACAAGTGTAGGCTAAAAGCTTTGTTTATGCCAAGTAAACAAAAGAAACTGAGCTCCTTTCTCTGTTTGAACAATATGAAGAATGGGGTAATGCAATTATTACCAGTGTTTCTCACTGATTTTAGTCCTGATTGAATCCACTAGATCCGTCATTACAAACAGAACTCACTCATCACGAAAGATACTAGTGCCTTTTAAAAAGTGCCTTTAACTGTAAAACAAATCATAGAAATAACCTCAGATTATATTAATCTTATGACATCTTTTTGGTTAAAATTGTTTGTCAGGAGTGTGTCACCCTTCAAAGCCTGAGATAACAATTTAAAAGTCAGGGACAGTGGGTCCGATATTGTGGGACTTTTTCGGACGTCACGTTATACGTCTCACTGTATTAACATCATATGCCCATGCTCAACAAGGAGGTCCGGCTTGATGTTCAGGTCTCAAATGCAAAATCAACATTATACTGATTATGATATGATGATAAAAGTAGATATTTCACTTACATCCTCAGAAGTCACATTCTACACCTTCAGCATGTTTTGTTCTTTTAGAGATGCACCGATACCACTTTTTCTCTTCTGATACCAGTACCTGATCCTTGTATCAGCCAATATAGAGTACCAGTACTGATACTGGTACTGATACTGAAATTTAACCTGTCTGGCTTATATGTCCTGAAATTAATACAGTTCCACTTTCTAAAAATTTTTTGTCTTAAAATATTAAAATAAATATTATAGCAGCTTCTCTGGCTTGGCAAAACATTTGTCCCATATGTGCGTCCTGTTCACTCGCATTTACGTTTTTACTGGTGTTATAGATTTTGCCATGAGCATATTTACTGCTGCTTATCAACCCACACTGCCGACGTGTGAAGTTCCATCTACTGGCACGATTGCACACGTCAGCATTATCTGTCAAAGGAATCAGTACCGCCTTTGCTGATACCGGTACTGCATTTTAGTGCCTAAATCTGTGCTGATACCGATATGGTATTGACATTGGTGCAGCCCTATTTAGATTAATTTTTTAAAGTGCTTGCGATCTTCTTGGGTAAGAGGTGTGAAACACAACTGAAGTTCCAAAATGTTGTGCCACATGTTGCTCCACATGTTGCATTCAGTTACACGTTTCCACCAGAGAAGTCTGCAAATGCCCAAAACTTACATTGTGCAACTTTAGCAATGGAGGCACTCAAAAAAAGTGTTTTCTCTATGACTAAATTTTTTTTTAACTGTGAACATTAAAACGTATGAAGATGACAGAAAAAAAGACTTTACTGAATGTTGGCTGTGAATTCTCAGTCTAATGACAATAATAACACATTGCATTCACTTAAGACTGTTAGGTATGCGGTAAGGGTAAACTTAATAATGACTAAATGAAATATTTTGACGTTTTGTACTCTTTTCTGAAATAAAGGCAGATCATAAATCGAGTAGCCACTTGCATCACTGTAATTTATACTGAGATTTCTTGTCCCACATGAATTGGTTGTGAATTTTGCAGATGTCTTATGGTAAAATTGTAAAAGTTTAGTGTGGTTGTTGTGTTTTTTTAAATGTCTGTCTTTCAAATTTAGATTAGTACTTTACTCAGCTGATTTTGATATTATGTAAAAGAGTCTACATACTGGTGTGTGGGAGTCAGTGTATTCGTGGTCTATACATTTAAAATGCGCTCTTTATTCTCCCAGGTGGGAAGAGGAGAAGTATGAAGATGGCGTCAAGTGGAAGTTTCTAGAACACAAAGGGCCATATTTCCCACCTGAGTATCAGCCTCTCCCTGACAATGTCAAGTTCTTCTATGATGGTGCGTGTCCCTACAAAATCCAAGAAAGGGTCAGGTTCTGATAGTCCTTGAAACTGCAATCAGAAAAGATGAGAAGGTGACCAGAACAGACTTGAGTAAGACAGTTGGAGAATAGTTTGTGAAAGCTGTGAAGATATATTGAGAATAACTGAACGTTTGCCTGAAATGCTCATTTTTCTCTCCACTCTGCTTCTCTCCATCTATCTCTGACTGGGCATGGAGCCTAGCTCTGGGCCAGCTATGTCCACTGTCTGGGTCAGCAAGCCTCTGGAAAGAGCATAGAGAAGGCTGTAATCATTTTCCTCTAGTGCTCAGGCTAGCTGCTTCTGTTAATAGCCACTCTGCAATGGACAGAAGAGGCCCCTCTTTAAAGTATGGGGCCATGCCGCAGGGCAGAGCCCATTCATCTTGCCTGAGCAAAAACCCAGCCGAAAACATTTTGGCTTTTTTTAGGCTGTAACCCCTCTGAGTGTTTAGATGGAGTTTTGATTATAGTTGCCACGGGAGCAGCTCCCTGGAATGCATTTAAACAGATTTACGTCCTCCTACCTCTATCCTGAACACTGCCTCAGTTAGTCCTGGGGTACGGTGCCTGCTTGGTGACTCATCGTTGTTCTTTGGAATGTAAACCCTGAGACTTTCATTCATCAGGCTAGAATAAGATATGATGAATGAGGGATAGGGTGTCATGTAGATCTGCTCCCACTACCACATTATTGCTGTGGAAATGTGGCAAATAGCACTTTGTAACAAGTAAACATAACCTTATTGAGCTCTGCAAACTTGCATGTAGTTTGTTGTTCTGCTTTTGAATCACATTGGGTTTTAATAAGTGAGAACGCTTTTGTTTGCCAAGGTCTTTGTTTTTTTTAACTATCATACAATGTAAATCTTGATTCAGTGTTTGTCTTTACATGCATTATGGCTTGTAATCTGCACAAACAGTGAATGGGGATAGAGTTGGTTTAGGGTCTGCTTACACCTTGCACTAACATGTTTTTAATGATCGTATCACGTTTCAAATTCATTTGACTGCATGAAGTGCCAGGACGCTTTACGATCGGATCACTCAGACCACATTCAGAGGTGGTCTGAGACACAGCTTGACCTCAAGGAATACGTTTTCATTATTTGTGTACAATTACATGAGCAGAAATGCTTCTGTCAGGTGCTGACCTGCAGGTGAGAGAATAAACAACAAAACGAAAGATGGAGGATATACGAGGCTGTAGTTATCTCCAAACCAAAAGTTTTCATGCACTTCATGTGTTGACATTCCTTTTTTTTTACACTGGAAAAGTAAAATCAGATCTCGTCTGGCCACACTGGGGATGCATTTTAATGAAAAGTGTAAATGGAATCTGGCCAAAGTTTATCCAGATATGATCCGGACACAAAACACCTGTCAATGCAAGGTTCTTTGTTATTTGGCGTCATGTTAGGTTAACACACCACTGTGTGTGTTCTAGGTAAGGCTGTGAAGCTGAGTCCGACTGCTGAAGAGGTGGCACTGTTCTTTGCTCAGATGCTGGACCATGAATACACCACTAAAGAAGTGTTTCGCAACAATTTCTTCAAAGACTGGAGAAAGGTATGGGGAATCCTACATATTCTACTCTGTGGTAGGCATCATATGTGTGGAAGCAGCTGCCTATTGCCAGCCCTAAGAGACAGTGGAATGTGTAGCTCTCTAGTAGCAAGAATCCCTTGACGCTTGATGCAAGATAGCACTTTATGTGGACTGGAGTGTTTTCACCCTGGTTGCTTCCGTAATGACCATTTTTGGTTCATCAAACTACACAAATGTTGAAAGTGGGCCTCAAGAGGAAAAAGAAAATACAAAAAAAATTAGGATGGGGCCCCTTTTAAAGAAAAAAATCCGGATAAAATAGTGTCAAAACACAACACATTCAGATGATTCCAGACAGGTGTACTGCATGATATTTAAGCAATGAATATCTTACTCTGTTCTGTGGCATGTATAAAAATGTCAAACCAGCCCAGTTGAGCTCGTTTTTGGATCACGATGGCAAGAGGAAATATTTAAGTGACTTTATAGAGGGTTCATTATTGAAGCATGGTTGGCAGGAGCTGGCAGTTGGCTAGTGTTCAATAGGAACAGTGACTAAAGTGACATCTGCATTTACATCTAGAAGAAAGACATCAGAAAATAAAGTTGGAAACTGGTCAAAACTGTACACTCAGCGATACTTGTGCATTAGAGCAGTGAGTAAGTCATATAAGATGACTGTTCCTCAGGTGACTGAGAAATTCTGTGCATGTCATCAGGCAAAACAGCAAAAGAATCTGTCCACAACTACATAATGGGATGTTATATTGGGGTTGCATTGTAGAAATTCCTCCTTAAGACAAATGCACATTTGAGAATTCAGTGGAGGAAAAACCATACGCACTAATCTCCAGGGGTGGAAACAAGGTATTATGGTCAGATGAGTCATCCTTCACCATATTCCCAACATGTGGGTGAGTGCATGTGTGGCACACACCAAGAGAACAGTACAGGCCTGAATGCTTGACCTTTACAGTGAGAGGGTCCGGTCGCTCTGTTATTCTGCGGGGGCCACCTTTCGTTCTGTGTTCCCCGGAATATCTAAAATATCTGCATTTTTTTTATTTAACTGCATTTGCAACCTTACAGAAATAAACATTTCATTTCTCTCTAATGTTAGTCCAATTTGTTCCTAATTTTTTAATTTTGTAAATATTATTAAGTTTTAGCACCAGCATCGTACAGTTATTCCAAATAATAACTTTTATCCTATGATGAAACATTTCTATTGTAATGAAAGTGTTCTTTTCCAGGATGACCATGCCCCCATCCACATGGCCTTAGCATTGCTGAATTATTTGATTAGTATGAAAATCATGTGAATTATATGCTATGATCTTCTCAACCTACCCAGTTGAACACCTAGGGGGCATTCTGGACCAGTATGTTAGACAGTTCTCTCCACCACCAACAAAACACTAACTAAGGGAATGCATTTTGGAATAATGGTATTCCATCCTTCCAGTACAGTTCCAGAGGCTTGTAGAATCTATGCCAAGTCTCACTGACACTGTCTTGGCAACTTGTGGTGGGGCAAAACCTTACTAAGACTATATATGTTGGCTTTTCCTTTAATTGGTCACTTGTCTGTACATGCTTTAACCAGGATTACTGACCATACCTGAATCTGGAGAAGAACGGAGAGAATTAAGGTGTTGGTGCAGTAGAACTACAGTATTACTTAAAGTAGTGCACCATTCCTGATTTCACATTTCATACTGATCTCATTATATGTGCTACCGGTCATAAAGAGAGGTGCTTGGCAGATTTTTAAACGTTGCATTTTTTCCCCTCCTCTTTCTTCAGTGAGTGATTTTTATCAGTTTTAATAGATTCTTTTGGAGTTCATAACAGCGCTCAGACCCAGGTTTTTCTGGTCAGATGGTGAGCGGCTGTGATAGGAGAGATGGATGATGGATTATTCATTGGGGGGTTATGGAACCAGGGCCATGCTATCCACACCCCAGCAGGGCCCAGGGCCTATCATGCAGAATTAATTTCGTGCTGCTTAGCGCTCAGTGCTCTTGAAAATACGATTTGTGTAAAGGCATTGATATGCTAATCCAGACAACTCGCTCCCCACATATGAACAAATCCAATTTAACTGTTATATTATAACACAGAAGCCTCGCCTCGCCTCACTGAGCACAGTCTCCGCCCACTGCCCCTCTGTCAATCAGAGAGAGAGAAAAAGGAGATGGGGAGTAGAGACTGATAAGAGAGATCAGTGAGATATTTTATGCATACCCTGATCTGTATGGAGACATACTCTGCCTGTATGATGTAGGTGCCCCTGCAGCACCACTTAGTTGTGCTTCTGCTAACCTACTTTAAGTCTCCTCATAGGTCTCCTTATTGGTCTGAAAACAGATCTGTGTGATCTGTTCCAGTAGTGGTTGCACTGCATTGCAATATTGAACTGAAATGTTTGTTTATTTATTTAACTTCTATTTAGTTTTTCATTAAATGTAAATCCATGTCATGACTCGAGTGCAAGTGATAATGAATTCCATGCATTTCAATGCATGGCTTAGTTGCCCTTAGAACACACTCTGGCTTTTACAGCGGGTGCTGGGCAAACAGTAATGAGGAGACAGGAGGTTAAGTGGAAGTGCACACATGGGAGTGTGTACAGAGAGAGGGGAGGTGCATTTATGTAGATCTTGTAGTGTAGGTGGTAATTGGCTCACATTAGAGGCCTATTTACCCTTTGTGTTTGCAAGTGATGAGATACAACAAGGACATTGCTTTCTTACATGAATTAAGATGCTCATATATACTTATATGCTGGATCAAATATACTGAATCAATGTAAACACCAATAATAACCTTATTAAAAAGGTTGGATATCAGCCAGACATTACCAAACCACATTCAGTAATGTTTCTTAGTTGTTGTCAACTTTCCAGAACAAGATCTTTTAAAGATTTGCATAACTCTAAAAGTATTGGTGCTATATGATCAGAAGAATACTAATGATTTAAAATATTGGGTTCAAAAGACAATTTAGTGTCCAACTTGCTGTGTATGATGTTACTTTGCGGCCTTATTAGCTTATTAGCCTTATTTTGTGCTGCAATTATATGGCGTATATATTAACGAGCCATTTTTCATTTACATGTTTAAAAAAGGCTAGTTATGTTATTTTATATTGTAACTTTGGCTGATAGAAAGTACTGGAAATGTGCTAGTGTTTCATGTGTTTATTTAGCCCACACAAAAAGGGCTAATAAAAATCGACCGAAAAATTGGCCAATGAACAGTTTGGCTGTAAAGAAATCATTGGCAATGAAAATTTGTGATTGATGGAGCCCTGCTTGTTTATCAACCACTTCAGTATCATAGCTATCTGACACTGAAAACACTGAATAGGGTCTAAGAGTTGTCTGAGAGCAGCTTCAGTAAACCCTGATTGCTTTGTAATTGCGGGTATTGAATTAGATTTATTCAATAGCACAGGCTCTGAGTTCAAGCTGGGATTATGTCAGAGGTGATTGATTCCTGATATTGTGTTGCCAGATTTCTGAACTGCTGTATGTATGAAAAAGCCTGAGAGTTTGTAGTCCATTTCACTCTCTTGTCCTCTCTGCCTCCATTTCTCTCCGGCTTATGTTCACACGCCCCGGGGGTGCCATTGGGGTGTGTGAGTGTGTCCACAAGAAAGAGGGGCATGAGGGTCAGTCTTTTGAAAGGATAAAATTGAAATTGCCTGTATGAGAGCCCATGGTGCTGGCCCCAGGAGGGCAGATTGCAGTGATTCACTGTTAGGGTGACATTTAACAAAGGGAAAAAGGAAACTTTGGAATATATAATAAAACAAGCTGGAGAGAAAGTTATGTGGCAGTCCCTGAAGCTGTGACCTCTCCACTGGTCAAATTTCTGTCCTTTTTTTCCCTCCCCCCCAAGCTCATGGGATGCTGTGATCATTACAGGTGAGGCAGGTCATTGCTCTGTCTCTCTCAGGCGGTTTGAATTGGCTCAATCGCGTGGGACTCGATTATGGCCCTCATTAGCCTGCTGTTGTGAAGCAAAGGTTCAAATCCATCAGTAGCATCAGTTTGGGGAGTTACTTTGCTGCCAGTAACAGAATCATCTTATTCAGCTAACTGTGTAGGAAAATAGCCACAGTAATTGGTTTAACTGGGCTTTTTTTCTTTGCTTTACCTTTCATTTTGTAATTTTGCAGCAGTTCCTAACACTGAAATAGATGCAGAATCACAGTGACTGAATGTGAGTAGAGGCTTGATCTTTGTCAAATAAAAGATCATAATAATAGTACAGTTCAGTAAAAGTTGTGGTTGTAGTATACGGTCATCTTTAGTTTGGTCACAGTTGTTAGTTTGGAGCTGTGACTGCCACATAAACTCTACCATCTGAGGCTGTTTGTTTGTGGCTGCTTAGCCTAATGCCCTTTGAGGCTGTTTCGTGTGATATCGAATTGTACAAGGACTGAGACATGATGTTTTTCCCTTGTGGTACAAGGAGCATTTCTTCAGGTAATTAAGAAATGTTGTACTAATCGTGAATATCACATCACCCAACATGTTATGTTCACATGCGGGAGTACCAATGTCTTGCTATGGTTTGATACAAATCAAGAAATGAGCAACAGGTTTTTAAAGAGGCAATAAGTCATCTTCCTCTTTGCCTTATGAAGCAACCAATATGGCAATGTTCCTGGAACTCTATGCTGACACCTGTCAGTGTGGGTGATACATCGCATCATTACCTATTTTCACTATCACTTGTAGTTAAAGCTGATATTACTGAGAAAGTGTCAGACTGAGAGTAACAAAATCAAAGTGAAGTTATGGAATTAAGAAGTTTTAATATGACAGAGACGATATACATGTAATGTGTTCATGGTGTGTTTTTTTTTTTTCGCTCTGGATAGGGAGGCGTGTGTGCGTATGATGGATATGTGTTAAGTTGTTGCAGGTCAGAAGCAGTCATTCATTGTCCAGATGAATAAAGTGGAGCTGAGAGTGTATGGTATGTGTTTGTGTGTTCAGGAGATGACTCTGGAGGAGCGAATGCTGATCACTGACCTAAATAAGTGTGACTTTGGAGAGCTCCATGCTATGCACAGGCAGAAAGTGGAGGCCAGGAAAAACCTGAGCAAAGAAGAGAAGCAGGTAAGCACAGTAGTCCCCATGAACACCACTGAATATGTGATGGCATGTGTTGTGTAACGGGGCTGAATAAAGCACGTTTTTCTTGTTTTGGATGTAAACAAAGCTTGCCATGTCATAAGTCTCATGCGCGCAAATTACATATTTGTTTTTTCCCCCCCTTACTCTCGCACAATACTGGATTGCTGTCACTGTTATTTGTCTCTATTTCCATAATACTCCAGATTAATAAAGAGGCCAATCAGAAGATTTTGGAGGAGTATGGCTACTGCATGTTGGACCACCATCGGGAGCGCATTGGTAACTTTAAGATTGAGCCTCCAGGGCTGTTCAGAGGCAGAGGAGATCATCCTAAACAGGGCATGCTGAAGAAGCGGATCCAGCCGGAGGACGTCATCATCAACTGCAGCCGGTAACAGATCATATTCAGCAGCATGCTCTTATTTGGAGGCCACATATCCTACATTTGTTTACATTTTTTTTCTGATCAGCTGCCCTGTATTGTGCTTAATTCAAAAAGCAGTATGGGCTAAACCACTCCTTGTAACTTCACTGTCAATAGGCGGGGCTAAACTCCCATTGCCTGAATAGATAAATGCGGTAGTTTTCATGACAACACAATTTTTTTAAGTAGTTTCTATATACGGTCTGTATGGACTAAGTAGTTAATGGTATGCTTTAAATTTTTAACAATGTTTACATCACATCAGATTGTTTTATTTATAGACCCTTTCTGACCTCATGCTAGCCTCCAGAAAATCATTGACCTTTTACAGTGCCATAATTCTGGTTTAGAGGCTGCTGCAGTTTTATAGGAGCTCCCCTTCAACATTAGAAGTCTATTATGTATGTTAAGACTTGTAATCATTCTCTGCAGTATACACTGCTATTGCATGCCCTGATCTGCCCTGCAGGAATTCCCGTATCCCGGAGCCCCCCGCTGGTCACAAATGGAAGGAAGTTCGACATGACAACACGGTAACGTGGTTGGCTAGCTGGACTGAGAATGTGCAGGGCTCCTGCAAATATGTCATGCTCAACGCAAACTCCAAGCTCAAGGTATAAAGTGTGAAGTCTGTTTCTCGTTTACTGACGCTTTTGCTTGTCACTTTCTCTCGTTCTCTCTTTCTCACCTTCATCTCCCCCCTCTCTCATTTCCTTCCCTACCCATGTCAATCTGTATTTGCTTCTCTTGGTTAATAGATTAGGTTTTGATGACATTTAGCTGTAGCACTTGATGCTGGTTAATCAAACAGAGCAGAGAGCGAAATGCATTCTGAGGCAACGCGTTTTCAGCTGGTCCTCCTCACCGTGCTTCATCTCATCATTTGTCTCGCTCCACTCGCTGCCTCTCACTCACACAATCAAATCAGGATGCAAAGCAATCAATTCCATCATTACTCAATTACCCACACCTGACAATAAGTTATTCCCACAGGAATGCAGATGTAGTATGTGTTTATGTGTACACGTATTTCTCTTTCTCCTGCTTCAGCTCTGTCTCGCTGCCTGCGTTTCTTTATTTTCCTCTCCTGTCTGCCTCCTCTACACTCTGTAGCAAAGAATGCACACATCTCGGTTTGCCAGAGTGTTACTGTGGCAACACAAGGTGTAGAGGGTCACAGTGTTGTGGGCCAATTTAATTGCTGCAAGCCACAGGCACAAGAACATAAGCTAACCTCTGACACATAGGTGTAATGGAAATGAATACACAAATCCACCTAGCAGTGGTGAACTCAAAAGTAAACCATAAAAAAATGTCAGACTTTAACTTGGACTTCTTATCTGATGTATGTGATCTAACTGACAGCAATATAGTATTGTTATCATCACTTGGTTTTTAAGGCAGAATTGTTTTAAAGGCTGTAAAAATATGCTAAATGTTAACCTGGTCCTATTGAAATAATAAAAAAAAAACATTTAAGCGGTCATTTGGAGACATTGAAAGACATGTTTTTCTGAGTCAGCATGTTCCAAATGATGCAAATTCTGAGTAAAGAAGAGCTGGGCTGCACTGGGGTCAGATGTGCTAATGCCAAAGTTTAAATACAGCAGGTCTAATTACATGTTTTGTTAATTTTTTTAAGTGAAAGTTGGTAAAACCTACAGTGAACACTCTTAAATATGGCATTTTCCTGCAAAAATATGTGCTTTTTTAGAGGCCACATTTTTGTTTTTTTTGCCCCCAGTGTGTTCAATTCAGTAAATAAACAGTAATTGTGCATTAAAATGTAAAAGTGTTTTCTCTATAGAGGATGTGTCAACCTTTCACTTAAAAATCTACAAAAATTATAATTTAACCAGGAGCCCAAACTTTTGCCTACGACTGTGTATTTTGTGGTGTGCAGGGGGAAAAAGACTGGGAAAAGTATGAAGTGGCTCGCAAGCTCAAGTCATGTGTCGATGCCATCCGATCCCAGTACCAGGAGGACCTGAAGTCTAAACAAATGGGCACTCGCCAGAGAGCTGTAGCACTCTATTTCATTGACAAGGTCAGCTCACATTTTCTGTCCACCTGCTTGATAATGATGTGCTTTTGAGCACTATGTTTTGACTTTTCTTTTTAAAGTGTTTGGTATTGTTGGTAATTCACAGTAATAAGAAAATTGCAGACAGTTAAGAAAACATTCACCAAGGTGTGAAAGTTCAGATAAATAGTCTTGATATGCTTCACGCAGCGACTAACACATTTTACCACTGTGAAGGTCATAGTCAAGAAGATATTATAGCTCTCAGGCTTCTGCTCCTGTCTACTAAATGAAACCAGCCACAAGTATATCTTGGCTAACTATTTGTTGGCTCCTTATAGAATCTTTCATTTTTAAAGCATTTGTTGCATTTACAGGTCATTTGATGCAAACACATCTATGAAATATTAATATATGGTACTGTGCAGAAGTACTTTATTTCCTTTCCATTCAAAAAGGCCATCAAGTTGTTCATCTTTCAGCATCAAGAAAAAAGCCAAAGTTCAGTCTTGGAAGTTCATGAAGTCCAAACATATTCAGCGATGTTGAGGGCCGTTGGGATGTTGTCTGGACTCCGGTGTGGACAGTCCATTGTTTTAGGAACATCAGCAGCTTCAGCTTTTGTAATGGCTTTTTGGCAGCTACACATCCTTTCATAGTGTTCAGTTGTCTTCTCACAGTGGAAGGATGGACAGAAACACCTCTGAAATCTGACGTTAAGCAAGAGTGGAGGTTGATTTTCTCCTCGCTCTCAAAGATGAAACCTTTACATATTGTTTATCTGATGGTGGCAGTTTTGGTGGTCTACCAAGTCCTGTTTCTTATGCAATTGTATTGTCTTATATGTGATCTCCTTAGAAATATCTCCTGCAAAATAAAATAATTGTACTTTTAAATAAATGAGGGTGGACTTTTGCACAGTACTGTAGCTTGTAGGTTTACAGACAACAGGCACATGCTCACACATCAGTCAGCGTGCGTAAATGCCTCTGAGTAGAGATAAAGGATCAGAGGTTGACATACATTATTAGCCTCTACCCTGCCGTGGAGTGTTTAGGGGTTAAGTGCTTACAGGACACAACAGCAGCACGCTATGACTGACACAGCCGCAAATTGAGCTCACGACCTTCTGGTAGCTGGACAGCGTCCCGTCCTGCAGCGATGCCCAAACTCCTTCACACAGGGCCTGGGTCCAAGTTCCTGTTTCAAGCAGATATTTCTGGTGTGTGTGTTGTGTTTGTGTGCACAGCTGGCTCTGAGAGCAGGTAATGAAAAGGAAGAAGGGGAAACAGCTGATACAGTGGGTTGCTGCTCTCTGCGCGTGGAGCACATCACTTTACACGACGCACTCGACGGAGAGAAATGCGTGGTGGAGTTCGACTTCCTGGGTAAAGATTGCATCCGCTATTACAACAAGGTTCCTGTCTCCAAAAGGGTAAGGCCACGTGTGTAATAATCATGCCAATCACAGTTGGTAAACAATAAAGTATTGTTTAGCCTCTTTGTTTCGTGGTGCATCACACAGTGAGTCAGCTGTAGGTCCAGTGTAAGAAGCATATTAGAATCTGAGGGGGAGGTTTTGCCGCTATAAGCAGCTTGGGTCATTCTCCTTTGGCTATGGAAATTGTTTCACTTCTAATATGGTAATACAAGGAGTCAAACTAGTTTAGAGAGCATGTGTGAAAAATGTTTGCTTCTGTCGAACACTGTTTGCCAGCACAAGCTTTCTCATTATTTAAATGAGAACATTTTAAGCAAAAGTCATCAGGTAAGAAATAATTAGTTCCCTGAATATGTAACAGGTTCATTGAGAGAGGTGGAGAGTTGTTGGAAATGTCAGATATAATTGAAGGGAAACGTAATTTCCACCCCCCCCCCGGTTCTCTCTTCATGCTGAATAAGAACCGGAGCCCCTGGCTTGTGGCATCTGGTGCCAGCTGATCCTATGAGTTTATGTCGTATTGGTTTATTTTGTGTCTTAGTGTGTCTAATGACATGTTGAGTGTTGAGCTCCATCTTCAGTGGAAATGTGAGTATGTGTGAGAGGGATGGAATTGGGAAGGGAGCGATGCAGGCATCTGCTTCTGCATGGCCAGATTGTGCTGCTCAGTGTATGGTAAGTGTGGTAATGATGTGTAAAGCTCGTGCTAGTGCTACACTATCCGTGATTACAATTCTGACAGGTCCACGGACGAGTCAATCAGCACTCTGGTCGGCACGCTGTTCAGTTAGTCAGGGGAACCAAGTCCCTCATTGCTTGACAAGCATGTCTGCTAGCTTCTGTTTTTTCCCTACATTTGGCTCAAGGACAAATAGTTATTCAAATGAGTCTGATTTAAAAGAAACACATCTGCTATCATTAATTAGTAGCGTGCATATTTTAGCCTTTAGTTTATTCAGCAAGAGTGGAAGAAAACAGGACTTCATGAAAATGTCAGATATAATTGAGTGCTATTTCTCTCTCTCTCTCTCTCTCTCTCTCTCTCTCTCTCTCTCTCTCTCTCTCTCTCTCTCTCTCTCTCTATCGACAGTGCTGGTATAAGCCTCAGGTTGATTTTTGTTGTCTCTTTCTTTCAGGTTTTCAAAAACCTCAAGCTTTTCATGGAAAACAAGCAAGAGGGGGATGACCTGTTTGATCGACTGAATGTGAGTATAGGCTTCTGGGGGTTAATTCTGGATTAAAGCAGGATTTCACATTTAGCCAAATAACTTAAGCCAACATCAAACCTGTCCGTTTGGAGGAGAGCTAAGGGACGTTAATGACAGGTATAAAAAGTGTAAATCCACAGGTGAGTTTTTCTGAGCAGCATGAGAAGATATACGTTAAAAAAATAGCATAAATAAAACATACTCTGACCATACCATTAAAAATTAAATTGCCATGCCTGACCCTAAGCTTAAAGGGGAATTCCATTCCAGTTCTTCCAAAGTTTCTGCATAGTTCAGTCACCATTCTAGGTGTTTTGACGTGAAGTGGATCATTGCAGAGACTCAGATTTTCTTTACAGTGGTGGTGACAGGAATCAGGGGTTGAGATGTCTACCAAATATGACCATTTTATTTACTGTCCAAAATGACCAGTGAACTTATGTGTCTTCAGTTTGAGTTTTTGTACATAATGTTTATAATATCGTGTATGGTAAAATAGTGTAAAATCTACGAAAAGTTTTCTTTTTGAATTGATTAAAAAAAAGGACATTTTAAAGCTAAAACCTTCTCAAAGCTATCATAAAACAGTGTCTCAGGCATCAGACAGCATATCTATAACCATTTCATATAGTAACTTTCTGAGAGGAAGCTTTTAGAGGCATTAAATGCTTTGGACATCTGGTTCCTATCACTGCCAACGTGAACGATTTTTGTTCACGTCTTGTTTTTGTTTGTCTTAATGCAGACCTTTTGAAAAATTTGGTGGAATTCCCCTTTAAGTCCTAAAGGCCTGTATGTGGGCCTACACTTCAGTTTCTCACTTTCATATATACAAAGCATGCTCTTGTTATAGTAGCTATTGAATGACTCATAGAAACTATGTTTTTATTATTTTTAATCATATTAAATCTTTATTACCATATTTAACAGGAAAACCATCAGTAAATCTAGAGTTCAAAAGTTTTGCTTTTTGAAATAACCACTTGGTGTGAGGTTATTTATTTCTCTTTTTTTGCCCCCCCAATATCTCTCTGTAAAATCTCTATGCTTCCCCTTCCAACCAGTGCCAGCAGATTTATTGGCAAGCTTGAGGTCATGTGTCTGACCTGACATGCACTGTGTGTTAAAGCTGATTGTGAGTGGGTGTTTTATCTCTTGAAGCCTGGCCTGACTGGCAGAGATACAGAATGTGCAGATAGAGAAAAAGAATGAAGGAGAGAGAGAAGGAGAGAAAGATAAAGAGGCAGGCCAGTTTGGTAATCGTAGGCGGAAGTGCAGGAAGATGATATTGTACTCCATGCTGCTCTTTTGACACTGTGAAGGCCCAAGTGAAGGAGAAAGAAAAAGCACAGCTTACAGGGTCTGGCCTCTGCCACACAGGCCTGCAAATCTTACTGCAAATCGTATTTCATGCTGCTCTGTATGTGAATGCGGATGTCTGCATCAGAGTACTGCTGCTATGCTTATTTCTTCATCCATGGAAATGGGCAAATACCCAAATACCTGAACCCAATATAGGCAAGTTCATGACTAGGTCAAATATGTCGCATTCGTAACATGCAGACTTTTTCCTTCTGTCTCTTGTAGTATAGTCCATAAATAATCAGAATGTGGAAGAATTTTTTATTTGTGCTTTTTTTGTCCTCTAGCACTTTGGAGTTGAAATAAAACAATAGAAATGTGAAGTCAAAGTGCAGAATCTCAGCTTTTTGAAAGTATTAACAATGATATCATGTTTAAAAGCACAGTCATTCGACCACATATGGAATAGGATTCACAATCATTTTCAGGGTCTGTTCTGTTGTTACTTGGCTTGTTGTTACTTACAAACTGTGTAGGCCCCGCCTTGCTTTTAAGTCAGCCTCAGTTCTTTGTGGTATGGATTTTAAAAGATGTTGGAAACATTCCTTTCAGATTCTAGTCCATGTTGATACGACTGCATCATGCAATTCCTGCACATTTTTCAGGAGCACTTTGATACTGCAAATCTCTCATTGTACCGTATCCCAAAAGTGTTCTGTTGGATTCAGATCTAGTGACTGGGAAGACCACTGAAGAACACTGAACTCTGAAATCCTTTCAGACTCATAGCATTGAGTTGTCTTCTCGCAGTGGAAGATGAACAGAAACACCTGTGGATTTTTTTCTAAAACTTGGTTTTCCATTAAGCCTATGAGAGCTTTAAGTACTGTTTACCTGATGATGACAGTTTTGGTGGTCTGTAAGATCTTACATGATTGGAGTCCAATTTTCTCTACATCTTTAATCCTCTTTTGAACTGCAGTTTTGGAAACTTTTTTCCCCAATTTTCTCCCCAATTTGGATGTATCCAGTTCCACCCACTAGTTAGGACTCCCCCAATCACACAATGCCACTAGCAAGTGGAGGGCAAGAGCTAGCACATGCTTCCTTTGAGACCAGTGAAGCAAGGCACTGTATCTTTTCGAACTACTGCTAACACAATGTCGTTGGACAGCTCGGACGGCTGTAGCATTACCAGGCATCGAACTTGGCAATATCCTGATGATCGGGCCAACGCTTAGACGGTCGCGCCACTCAGGAGCACCCTTGGAAACTTTTTCCACTTATTTTCCTTTGACCTTTCCCTTCTGTATGCTGGTATGTTGTATCTAATTTCCTCGGAAATGTCTTCTGAAAAATGAAAGTCATCTTGAAACCTAATGGCCATTTTGATTGGAAATTAAATAAATAAAGGTCTCTGAATTAAGCACAGTATTGTATATAGTGTGTATATAGTGGTCTCTCACTGGCTGAGTGGGTGGGGATAGGGTAGCTTTCTGCTAGAACAAGAATCACTGGCAGTGTTGAATGGCATTTGCATAGTATTTCATGTTATTTGAATAAGAACATGAATATGTGCCATCATAAATGTTCGACATGCTGCAGGATCTCTCTCTCTCTCTCTCTCTCTCTCTCTCTCTCTCTCTCTCTCTCTCTCTCTCTCTCTCTCTCTCTCTCACAGCACACAGCCACTCAGCTTCATGTGAAGTGTTTTTCACGTCTGTCTCCTGTGGTGTGAGTATGAGACGTATGTGTTAGATGCAGGGAGTGTTTGTGTTGGACTTTGTGATCAAACCAGCGAGAAAACAGCTGGTGTCATTAATGTCTAGACGTTTCCAGAGCATCGCCCCCATTTTCAGACCGGTGTGATGGCACACTTCCCTTAATAAGCTCTCCAAAGTGTACATTCACCAATAGTATTACTAAACAGTCTTAGTTTCACTTGTGTCCTGTTTGTTTTATGTGAACAGTTGCACATACGCTAGCCCCCAGCTGGCCAGACCGCCATCATGACAGTGTATTTTTTTTTTCTGTGCACACAATCACAAAATTTAAGGATCCATATTCGATGTTTTTCCTTGTATTTTATCATTGCTGAGGTCTGCTTATGACATTTGTGTGGGTTAATGTGCCAAAATCTGTCATAGTTCATTTCTACATGACCATTTTCCAACCTCACTGTAACCCACTTGCACTAAACAGGCTGCTTGTTTCTGTGCCTGTAAATGGCTGCCCTAAATTGTGCCTCCTTTAAAAAGCACTCTTGACTGTAACACTCCTTATAACGTCATTGTAAATATGTGGGTCTAGATTGCACAAGGCTGAATAGGCAGATATATGAAAATATATTGGTTTTTGTGGCGTTGCATAAACACTGAATCAAAGTGGGTTGCTTTTGCGGGTTAGTTTCCATATATGGACTGAATGAACAGGGGAGTGAATGTTACCTTTTGAAACAATGTTAACATACTATATCATCCTCTTTTTTTTTCGAAAAAATTGGTATGCGTGGCATTGGCCATTTAATCTCGCTCACCAGGTTTTAGGTTTCTTTTCATTCCTCAGTGCTTGTGGATCATCCAGGCTTATGGAACATCAGTCACAGTCTACGCCAATCCAATTTGACCTCAGTATGGCAAATTCTGCCAATCCAAAAGCATCTCGTGTGGAACACTAGTGGGTTTGGTAAAGCACTTGAATTTTTTTAGAATATGTTGTATTTACCTAATTGGTCTGGTCGGCAGATCAAGTAAAGCAGACCAGGTAAAAAAAAATGTCCATATGCTGGAAGGCTCAAAGTGAGAGTCAACAGTGTATGGACATACAGAATTAGTCAGGCTTCAATGGAGACAGCCACAGCAGTTGGTGCAGATGTTCTGCCAGCCTATTACAGCTCATATTTGCAAAAATACTCCCAGATCAAAGCAGAAAATCTGCAGTGTCATTAATAGCCAGAATATATTAAAGTTAACCTTTATGGGGTGGACAGCAAGACTGGGCTGAATTCATGAGAACAGTGGGGAAATAAAGCTGGTCCGTGATGCATTATGTTTGTTTGCCGTGGTGTGCTTGCTGGTTATGTTGGCTGTATGCAGCTGATGGGAATTGGTGTGCTGTGTTGTGGTTATGCCTGCAGTTGTGTGGTAATGGGCTGTAGGTGTTTCTGAATGGTAATCCTTTTCGACACATGGTTTCTTCTCTAGAATGGTAAAACATCACTGTGTAGTTCCTGGATTAATGACTATGTTTCTTCCCTTTTGTACAAAGAGACAACACTTATGCTCTCTCAGATCTCTTTACATGTTAACTAATGCTTTTAAAACCTGTATTTTCCTCTAGGGATGCACTGATGTGGGTATTGTGGGCTGCTGCTGATACCCAGTATTTTTCATCATCAATATCTGATATTTTTTTATTTGCCAATACTGATACAAACATTTATAAAATGTAGAAACTACAACTAGTTTCATTTGGAATAACATTACAGAGAAATGTAACACGTGGAGAGTGTTTCAAATGCAGTAAAATGAATATAATGCAGTTATTTTAGCACAGTAGCCCAGCATGACGTAAATGTTCTGCTCCTCTAGAGTACAATAAATAACAAATCAGATATCAGTTTGATTAAATCAAATGAGTTTGCAACAGTTTCTTTTAAACCATATATCTGCTGATACCGATATGATTCTGATTTCTAAATTCTAGCAAGTGTAGTTGTTTTTTTCCTCGTTCGACATACTGAAGACCTTTTTTCTTTCTAAAGACAACAGTGCCATCTAGTGAAATGAGAATTATGATGAAAAGACGGTCATGTGTGGGTTTTGGTGTGGGTTTGTCTGTATAGGTTAAATAACACTATCTATTTTCTATTTTCTGTGTTCTATTTTCTTCCCAGACAAACATGTTAAATAAGCATCTGAGTTCTCTCATGTCTGGTCTGACTGCCAAGGTTTTTAGGACATACAACGCCTCCATCACACTGCAGCAGCAGCTAAAAGAGCTCAGCAATTGTGAGTATCTTTTTTTCTTTCTTTCTTTAATTCTTTCCTTGTGTTTACATAATTCTTTATTGGGCGCTTTAGCGGTCTTTCTATCTTTCATATGGTAATAGCGTTAAAGGGGAATTACAATATATATATATATATATATATATATATATATATATATATATATATATATATATATATATATATATATATAATATACTGTTTTGCCTCACAACACCCTGCATGTACCAATCTACCATTAAAAGAAAATAAAATGTAAAAATACCTTTCAGGCCAAAATCTTATCTCAGAACTGTTGTAAAACAATGTCTCGGACATCAGGCAGCATATTCACAATCATTTCATGATGTAACTTTAAGTGAGGAAGGTTTTAGGGCATTAGTCTTCAGACGTCTGGTTCATATCACCACAAGTTTCTCTAGAACAGAGCATTTTACTTCAAAACACTCTGAATGACTAGATTAATATCTTGACCATTTTATCATGCAGAAACTACCCCTTTAAGCTCTTATCTTCCACAGACCCAGCTTGCAATCTTGAAAGCAAAGGCCTAAAGTTAACGTCTGAGAAAAAGTACCCCATTCCTGTAGCATAAAATCTTTCTACTTATATTCATTGCAGTTCTCTCCACACCTTGCTTTCCAGTGAAATGAACCATTTGCATAGAAAAGCTGTACTTCCTCTTGCAGACTCATGCCCTTAGTAGGAACAGCTTTCATGCTTTTCACTGTGTTTTGGAAGTGGGCTGTGTTATGCTGACTTTTACACTTGCGGATTTCACAGCCCAGCGATCTAATCGTACTGTTCAAACAGCTGGAGTGGATGAGTGGAGACATGAGGCAATACATAATCCTTTCATTTTGTAGCTGTCACCGACTCCTGCAGTAGTCAGAACTTGTTTCTGACAGAACTTACTTTGGACAAATCAATAAAATCATTATTGATTATGGTACCGGACATCGAAACGTGAGAAATCAAGTTTGAGAAGGGCTCTTTTGCAGGCTTCGTGCTTTACTGTACCTTGTGTGTGGAGGGGAAGACGTCCCTCATCATTTTTCCGTGGCTGATCACACAACTGTCCGGTAATAACCTTCGCTCATTTAGAGCCAAGTGTCTGCTTGTGAAAAATAAGCTATTTCATTATTGACCAGAGTGGGAGCTGGAGTGGAGTCCACAGGAGCATATGTCTCAGCGCTTGCCCACTCAGCTCCTCCCAGCAGGCCATATGCTTCACACATCCATCACTTAAGTCTATAGTCCGTGCCTGTATTTGTGTGTCCTTGCGTGTTTGCACAATTACATCATGCTTTGCATGCCTGTGACCAAGCTGTGCACAGTTTTTAGCCAATAATTGCTGCTGCTGTCCGCTGTGCCAGTGTAGCACTCTTTGCAGGGTGTGTGTATATGTGTGTGAGATGTCTGTCTTCATGCGTTGCAGCTAAGAGTAAATCTGTTTACTGTATCTGCTACAAGCCATAATTAAATCAACTACACACGCAGCAAGGGCTCAACCCACGGGTGGTTTGTATGTGTGTGTGTGAGCATGCAAGTAACAGATGGCAGGGATCTAAGTGTTAAATGCTCTTGCACACAGAAGCACAACTTCAGTTGCTGTATTATGTACTTCAGTTGAAACAATGGGGAAATTCTCTTACCCAATCTGAGGTACATGTAATTGCTTTTATTTTGCTGGTGGGTCACTTTGGTTGAGTGATCAGTTAAGGGGACTGTCAAAGAGCTCTCACCATTGCAGCACATCTGTAGATCTTGGCAGTCCAAGTCAAGTCAAAGTTTATTTATATAGCACTTTTTACAACAGGTGTTGTCACAAAGCAGCTTTACAGAAAAATTCGGGTCCAAGCCCCCATGAGGAAGCCAGTGGTGACAGTGGCAAGGAAAAACTCCCTAAGAGCAAGAGGAAGAAACCTTGAGAGGAGCCAAGACTCCTCTGGTCGACACCGGATAGCAAACAGTGTTAGTATAAAATATTAAAAATACAGAAACGTGGAAAAACAGGTGAAGCATTGGTTACAGTTAGATAGTTTGAGTCTGTGCAGCAGCAGCATCAGGCAGTGTGTTAAGCTCTTAAATTTGGCCTTAAAGATGGATACCACAGATTTTAGTCGCTGAGATGTTCTCTGATGAAGTAGTCCATTTCCCCTTTCTGGGACTGTTGGGATATCATCAGCTGACGCTGGCATGAACATTAACATAAAACTACTCATTTATAGACATTTTACACCTGTCTCACGATATACTGACCTCCTTACCATTTCATACTTAAATACATACTCCTGGATTTAAGTCTCATTTTCACTGTGATACAATTCAAACAGTAGTCACTGGTTTTCATTTCTTATTTTCTGTTTCTCATTTGTTACTCTGATAGGCTTCTAAAAGTAGTCATTGATTCATCATTTGCTAATCTAAATCCTTCTGTCCAATGACAGGCTCAGTTGTTTCTTTACTCCATATTCTTTGTTGTATTTTGCTCAAGTTGTATTACTGTTTTGCTATCTGGTGTTGACCAGAGGAGCATGGGTTCCCCTGTTGTGTCTTGGTTTCTCTCAAGGTTTCTTTCTCTTGCGCTTCGGCCCTTGGCTTGCTCATTTGGGGCTTGGACCCAGATTTTCTGTAAAGCTGCTTTGTGATGACGCCCATTGTGAAAAAAAGCACTATATGAATAAATCCTGACTCATGGCAATCATGGATTTAGTTTTCATTTTCCCTGCATTTTCCAGCATTGATGTTCTGAACATGTCTTACTTTTGATCACTATTTTTTTCATTATTCATTATTTAATATTCATTAGTTTTTCCTTATTCACTGTTGCATAACTCATTGTTTTTTTGATTTCTTTACTGTGGTCTCGCTGAGAACCGGAGATTGCGATGTCTACAACTCCAATAGCTATTTGCTATTCAAAATGACCACTGAACTTAGATGTGTCTTCTGAATTATGTTATGTTAAAAATAGTAAAATATTGATAAATGTTAAGCTAAAAGTGGTTTTAAAACAAAGGAAAAGTGGCAAATCTTTCTATTTTGCCTTAGAACTCCCTATATATGCATCATTATCATTAATGTACTTAAAATACATGTTTCATGCCAAAAGCTTATCTCAAACGTATCTTAAAACAATGGCTCAGGCATCAGGCAGTCTGTTTGTAACCATTTCAGATAATAGCTTCATGAACACAGCTTCATTTCACAAGAAATTCAAGTAAATGTATGTGCAAGTGAGTCCCTGTCTAACCTGTTTTCTCTCAAAGATCAGAAGTGTATACTATAATGTTTAACCAATAACTTGATCACTAAGAACCTGTTTTTTTTTCCTTCACCTATAAAGTTACCACATTGGAGATACAAGGTTCTGTCCTGAAAGCAGTGATCTAAAATGTAAAATATAAGATGGGGTACGATAAAATGGTGGCAAGAGAAAAAAAAAATTACTTTCTACTTTCTAATCTACTATGATTAATAACATAAGCCCAGAGCTGCCCATGCATAAAGGGGGCATTTTGACTTCAGCTTTATCTCCACCTTTTTCATCTGCTTCACCATTTCATCTCTTTCTTTCTTTTTCATATCTAGCATCAGATAACGTGGCTGAGAAGCTGCTCTCCTATAACCGGGCGAACCGTGCGGTTGCAGTTCTCTGTAACCATCAGCGGGCACCGCCAAAATCCTTTGAGCAGTCCATGGCCAACCTGCAGGCTAAGGTCAGTAAATGGGAGCCTATGACTAGACTTATTGAATGAGGAGCGTATCAACAGAAACACTATAAGTACGCCACATACTGCTCTTTATTGATTACATTAATTGTGAATATTTATGGTGATTATTGCTCTTCATCACTGCACTTCATCAAGCTAAAAACAAGCTCTTCTGTTAAGGGTCCTTGCAGTATCTTTATGCATTCTACTGTTTTATTGTACAGATCTTCTGTGGGTTTTTGGGATGGAGATAAAGGATGTGTTGCTTTGTGTTTCTCTGTCTCTATCGTTCTAGATTGAGAGTAGGAAAGAGCAGCTGGAGCTGGCTAAAAAAGAACTGAAACAGGCCAAGAAAGAGGCTAAAGGAAGTTCGGACAGCAAGCTGCTTGTGTAAGTTTTCTTCACTACCTCTGTAGAGGGGCATTTAACAGGGATTCTTGTACCCCGCAGAAGTGCTGTAGGAATAAGGATTAAATGTGTGTGTGCATAGTGTGGTGGAGAAGAAGAAGAAGGCAGTGCAGCGCTGTGAGGAGCAGCTGCTGAAGATGGAGGTCCAGGCTACAGACCGAGAGGAGAACAAACAGATTGCCCTGAGCACCTCCAAGCTAAACTACCTGGACCCGCGCATCAGCGTAGCCTGGTGAGACTATAACACACAATCAGAACAGTTATGTGGTTCAAACAATTTTACCTTGAAAACCTAGGGAACATATTTGCCTTCATTTCTTTTGTTTACTGTTTTGTAGGTGTAAGAACATGGAGGTGCCACTGGATAAAATCTACAACAAGACCCTAAGAGATAAATTTGCCTGGGCCATTGACATGACTGAACTAGACTTTGAGTTTTAACCCCAGATCCTCCTTTAACCCATTTATATTAAACCATTATGTCAGGTTCTTTTATAAGCAAGTTTTAAGATAAAACTGTTGAGTTGTGCAGCTGACTGTTTAAAAATGCTGTGGGCACTTTGTGTTCTTTTAATATCAAGTCTTTCAACATTTTTTACAAGCAATTCAAATAAATGTATGTGCAAGTGAGTACTTGTCTAACCTGTTTTCTCTCAAAGATTAAAAGCGTATACTACAATGTTTAACCAATAACTTAATCACCAAGAACCTGTGTCTTCACAAAACCTGATCTAGCGTGGTTTTACTACTCATCTTACTCTGCAATGAACGTGTACAACATTTATGAGACCACTAGGATCTTGTGGGCCCCAGTGCAAAATTAATGGGCACAATCCATTACTACAAAAATTAGAATGTAATTTGTTACCTTTACATTGTGTTCAAATTTATTGATGAACAGATCTATAGAAAAGTCACAGATGTACAATTGTGTCAGTATCTATGTGAGGGGCCCAATACAGATATTAATGGGGCCTAGTTACCATGGGCATCAGTGTGATTGGCCTCTTTGCCCTCTGGGTAGTTATGGCACTGGAAAGAAGAAGTTTGTTATGTAAACATGGATAAAGGTGACCAGTGTCCCTGGTGTACATACAGTTGTATGTAAAAATGAGTGTGCCCCTGATCAAATTACACATTTTGTTAACTAAGTGAAAATAAGTACGTATCGTCTACAGTGAACATGCTTCTGCACATTTTAATGCACAATTATTAAATGTAGTATGTTTTATTTTTTTCCAGTATGTTAAACTTATTTTTAAATCAACAAAACATAATTTGACCACGGTTTCAAACATTTGCATATGACGATACATATTTTCATATTTGCAGATCTTGTGTGTTACATTTGCTTGCATTCCCGATAGTGACTTGTTTGTTTGTGACCACGTGTGTCTTTGCAGACAAACAGTTTGACTCAGGTGACTTTCAGGAAATTCTTTGTAGTAGAAATAATGCAGCTTCAGGAAAAGATTAGCGATCATGCAGTTGCAGCTGGCTTGATCTAATATGACAAAGGAAAGTGAGGTAGCTGTTTTGTATGAAACCATTTAATAGCATAAATTCAGTGGAAATTGGAATATTATCTAGTTAGCACACAGGTAGTGCTCATTTTACAGTAACAAAGACTTCAACCATGTGATTGGATGGCCTTTAAGTGTGATTAAAAAGTTATTTGCAGTATGTGTTAAAGAACAAAAAGTTAAAGCAAAAGTTGCGCTATCAGGAATCAGCATTATTATGACTCAGTATAAAAAGAACTATACAATAACACATCAAATCAGATCAGTCACCACTAGGGGGGAGATGTTTACTGCTCTTGAGGAATGTCCATACTCCCTTGTTACTTGGCAACCTGTTTAAGAAAATACATAATTTAAGAGCATGGAAATTTGTAATGGTCAACAAATTACATCACACATTTACTGTATTACTATGTTTTATCTTGTTTGATTTTAGCTTTTATTTTTTAACTTGCTATTTCTTTATAAAGCACTTTGAGCTGCTATGTATGAAAAGTGCTGTATAAAAAGTTAACTATTTAAATGCACTTTTTAATTCAATAATTCAAGTTAACTATATTTGTACCTTCACTAAGAGGCCTCGCCTTCTTTGGCCTTGTTGTCTCCTTCTACCTCCTCCACCCCAGCCTGAGTCATCAGGTCAGCGATGTTCTTCTCCAGGTCGTCGATGCGCGTGCTCATCTCGTCAAGTGACTCTTGTTAAGGAAGACAGAGGGTGCACAAGGCAGATTTTGCCCCAGTATCCTCTCCTCTCATACAATCCACATATTGAAGTAGTAGCAAAGGGTAAGCACATTTTCTTTAGTCATTAGTTTTTGTGTTTAGAGCTGTTATCTCTTAAATGAACAATTCTATTGCAAGTACAATAATTGCATATACAGAGATCCAAACTCTTGTGTAGTTAGGTGCTAAAAGTCTAGTGGTAGTGTGAGCAGGACAAGGCTGGGCATGAATTAGCAGCATGTTGGGAAACGACTTCAGAATACCTACTGGTTGGACAGGTACTTCTTTTTTTTTGTAAGCAAAAATAATGTCTCTAAGGCCGTATATATACATACACCACTGACAGTGCTGTCTTTCTGGTATGCTATTACCTGTTAGAGCTAGAACACACATAAAATCTGCATTTTCAGTTTTATATTAAACAATACTATATACTGTATGATATATACTATACATCTACAAACAACACAAGACGATCTGAGTTCTGATACTATCGTTTCTTGCCTTCTGTGCCCAGGCATCAATGCGCCACTCACATCATCGGGTTACATTTTTTCTACTGGGACTGACTGACAGACTAACTGACTAAACTGGGTTTTACCAGTGCAAAGCTCATGGTTACAATTATACTGTGATGTGAAGATGGTAAAGTAACTCAATACACAATACACATTCGCATTAAGTATAGCTCTATGTGAATGTGTATTGTTTTCTATAATAATGTGACTGGTGAGTTACTTCATTAAAGGTTTTATGACTTACACAAGAAAAATTTCTGAAGAGCCACTTTAGAAACAACATGAGGTATCCCCCAGCCTCTTACCTAACCAATTCCAATCAATTTGTGTACTCAGAGTGTTTTTAAACACAATTTTCATCCTTTGCGGATGAAATACACAAAATATTCAATCTTCTTTTAAATGCTGTCTATTAGCTAATTCGATGTGGGTTACATTTGTAATATTGTTGCATCCTACTGAAATGTACCGCTCCGAATGTGACACCTCAGCTGGATAAAGCCATGCACCATTTAGTCACATTAGCTCGTGGCTTTCTGTAACCCGTATTGTGTATCACTTTTCTCCTTACTGTTGCTTACTGCTGCAGTAATGACAGAGTAGGATATTTCTCCCGATGATTTGGTCTGACATGGTCTGGAATTTGTCCTGCATCTGCTGCAGCAACGTCTGCACCTGTCAGAGGACAAAGCATATGAGTTACAGCAGAAACCACAGCGATCACAGCATCAGAGTTTGAGATGCAGGCAATATAACGCTACACACTATATTGGCTAAAGGGGCTGAATGCAAAGTGAGATCCATCCCAGTGTTTTGAGTTAGCAAACGGAGCGACTCCGGTCAACTGGAATTTTTACTGGTCTAGACTAAAAATGAAATTACAGTGTATTTGCTGTAATTTACTACGTGAACAGGCTGAATCTCAGTTATTGCTGGCTGACCTAGCTTTAGCCTAGCACCAGGCCTGCCGCTAGCCTAGCTTAGCAAACTGATGTTTTGATACTCACCACTCCTGTAAGGTCCTGTACCGATTTAGGATCTGTTTCCGCCATAGTTATTGCGTGAAACGACTGTGAAAAGCCAAACAGACAATTAGTCTTTAACGACTAACTGAGATGTAAACGCAATATAAGCTACAGCCAAATTTCGGATCCACAATAATCAGCTGTTGACCAAATCGCGGAGCTGGTAGCACTCTCGCGAGAGCACGGGAAGAAATCCCGTCTTAGCAGCAGTTTCTACCAAACAGTGGCTGTGTCCCGAATCCCGCCGAGGTTTCGTCTAGCTAGAAACTCACAAGTGAGCAGGGGGAGAAAAGTTTGAGCGTTTTTAAGGGAACCCGTTCCTTATATGGAAAATCGAGAGCTTCAGAAAAGGAGATATCTTAAGCCAAACAGGTCACTGGGGGGATTGCCAACATTTGAGTTTCAGAGATTTTCCTGCGCTGCGGTGAAACTTTTTTATGAATAAAAAAGTCCCAGAATAATATAAAAATATTTTCTGTTAAAAGGTGATTTTTATTAAAATAGAGAAATGTCACACCCAAGGTTCTCATGTTATCAGTGGGCGTGTCCATGTAGCTGTTTGGGGGCGTGGTCACAGAAACAGCCCCCACCCAAACAGAAACATCGGAGAGTTTTTAGCTTTCACTGCTGTTCTTCAGTACTGGAGTATTATTTACATACTTAGCATGGAGAATTAGGAAATATTTCCAAGTTGTGGAAAAAGAAGGAGAGGGGCAGACGAGTGGAGGAAACAAAAACCTTTGGGACGTACGTCTTATTATTTATAAACACATAATTAAATGCTTGCATGCATTACACGGGAGTAGCAAAGGACATACAACACATACTTTAAATACAGCGAGGTGCAGTTGTAAAACAGTTTATAGGTTGGCCTATTACGACTGACTTGGGTATTTAGTTGAGTGGTATCTGGGCTTGCTGCCTTTAATTTTGTGAAAAAAAAAAAACACTTATTCATGCAGTTTCCTGAGTTAATGTGTAAGTTAACTTAATGTCTTTTTGTCTTTTTCTGTCGCTGAATAGCCTGTTTGCTCAATCACAGCCCTTCAGCAGTGACTGACAGTAATAATGCAATATGCCCATATGAGACCACACTGACGTATCTGCAGTGCACACCAGTCTTGACGGCAATGGAGGTAAGAGCTAAACTTACTTCTGATCGTAACCTTCAGGGAAAGTATGAAAAATATATGTGCTGCTTTCATTCTGCGTCAAAAGCATTAACTAACAGTGCTTAAAAGCTGTGTGCCATAGATGCAAACTTATGGATTTACCCCTGTATCGACACACTGTAGTCTACTGTATGGAGTACAGTACACAGGGCTTGGTGAGGTGTTTAAGTCAACGTGCTGTCTATTCGATTTACTCTCGACATGCAGGCGGATTTCGGTGTTTTACAGTCCATTCTTCACTAGTGTGAAGCTGATAAAGTCTGGAAAAGAAGCGCTGTCGTGTAAACTGTAGGTTAGCTAATTCCGGAACAACTCGAAATGGTACGAGATCCAGTGTGGAGATACTGAACGAGAAGAACATCTCAGAGTGTGGAGAAGTTTTTTATCTTATGATCAACAGGCGGCTAACAGAGACAATGCTGGACCCCGTATTTCAGAGCCGGTGCTGAATATGCAGTTGTGTCGTGCATTGGAGGATTTGAGTGAGTGAGTGAGCTATTCTTAGATTGAGGTTAGTGCTGAGATTAGATTGGCCTCCTTGTGTTCTTCTCAACAAGCGCTGCATCTCATTTTCAAAACAACGCAGAGACCCGCTGGATCTTTAAAGGGGAATTCCACCGTTGTTTTAAAAAAGTCTGAATAATTCGGTCCTTGAATAAAAAAAATAAAAAAACATTGTATCTTTCAGAGTGTTTTGGTGTGAAATGGTTAATTTGTGGAGAAACTTGCAAACTTTACAGTGGTGGTGATGGGAACCGGGGTCCCAATGTCTACAACACAAATGCAGCCATTTTATTTACTCTCCCAAACCAGAAGTGAACCTACACGTGGATTTTGAGATTTCTATGTAATTTTGATAGTGATAAAATGATCATAAATCTGAAAATGATAAGTTTTCTTTGGGGACTATTTTTACTTACAACGCCCTGCATATACCCCTCCGCCATGAATGGATTAAGATACAATTTAAGCCAAAATTTCAGCACAAAACTATCATAAAGCAATGTGTCAGACATCAGGCAGCATATATCTAACCATTTCAGGTGATAACTTTATGGCTTTTAGAGGCGGACGTCTGGTTCCTGTCACCACCACTGTGAACAATTCTGACTTCGCAGGTTTCTCTAGAACAAAGCATTTCATCCAGACCACTCTGAATGACTTTGTTGACATTTCCACCATTTAATTATGTGGAATTTTTAAAAAATCTCTGGAGTTTCCCGATCTCTGGGTTGAGAACTGAAGCATGTGTTGGAAATAGTCAGCCCTGAATGGAAGGGTGCAGCTACACAGCACAAAGTTTTCTAAAATAGGCCACATGCAGCTCATCTCAGAACACCTTTTTCCTTAATGCAATTAAATGTTAATAAATGGGACAGAGTAGCATTTCATAGTAATCACCACTTTGTTAAAGTTTTGTTGACTAGAGTGCAGTTGTAGGATGTGGTGTAACCACAGATGCAACCTTGCTGGTAGGCAAAATAATTTGAAAAAGTAATGATGGCTGAACACAGAATACACCATCATAAATGTACCGTATTCCATTACAACACATAAAATAACATGACCAGAATACATTTACAATCCATATTAATAAACTGAAGAGGAAAAACTCTGCTGTAATTATTATTTAATTCACACTTTTCCTCATTGTTACTGGTTGGCAGTTCTGATAATATATTTCTTGAAAAACATAATTATTCAAATTAATACAAAAATGAACACAAACTCCTCAACATTATTTTGACTCTTATTTCCTGCTTCAGTCCACTGCTGCTCCCACTGCCCTTTCATGACCTATGCCAATGCTTTGCTATATCCCAATAATAAAATCTCACAAATTTAACTACACTGTGAGTAGCCATGTGATTTGTAGTGAATGACATGTATGCAACTTGCCATGGAACGCATGCACAAGTCCAGTACAACACCAAAGCCAAGCTTGTACTTCGTGAACATGTCCTCAACTGATGAGACTCAGATTAATGATTTATCAGTCAGGCTTTAGAAGGCATTTTCATTCCATCTTAATGTATTTGGTGGGCAAGTATTCTAAAGGTGTTTTTACTGCCATTACAAAATGTAACTTGGACTGAATACAGTTACTTAATATTTGTATTCTGAATATGTATTCCCAGTACTTCTATTCTGTCACATCCCGACCTGTAAATCTATGATACTATTGGTTATGCTTTTAGATTTTGGTTCATTTGTTAATGACTGAAGTGTATTTTAAACAAAAGACCACTTAGCTGCATACATGCAGGCATGCTCAGTGTTCACTGCATTCATCTTAGCCCATGAACAGTGTCCATGAAAATACAGTCTGTTGTGACAGTATTTGTGGTGAACTAAAATAAGACACTATAACTATTTTGTAATCTTTGTATCCTGAATGTTCTAGAGCTCATGACTGGGGACATTGTCTTGGAGAAACATCTGTTTGGCCAGACAGTGAGAGAGGAGCAGAGGACCTTATCTCTAGGAGCATTGCTTTGTAAGTGCAGTCTTGCAGTCTTATCTAGCCTACAAACGGGGCCAGTCGTTGAAGTGGCAAGTTTTGATGATAAATCCTCTGTTTTCTCAGACATCAGTGTTAGAACAGAACTATGTTCCGCAGGGCTAACGCTGGTTAATCAGCAGGTTTAGGCATGTGTGTTTTGCCTTTTGCATTTTCAGACAAGGAAAGCTGACACTTCCTTTCAGATGAGGAAAAGTTTCATAATGAATGAGGAAGTTGTGGGAGGCAGACTTTTGCAATTTGTTGATGCAACCCAATGTGAGCATATGGTCACACTTCTTTTATCTGTCAGCGTTTCAGAATATTAAAGCACAATTAAACACAGTCAAGTGCCTTATACATTGACAGCCTCAGGTTCACAGAATGTGAATGGTAGGTACCCTATGGTGTTAATCAGTCCTGTTTGAGGTCACATAGTGAATACATGTGCAGTTGTAGTTTAATGTTCTGGATACGCAATAAGGTGGAAAGCAATTTGAGTACAGTTGTAAATAGAATAACTAAGGCTGATGAAGTGTTGATTAGCCAAACTACATATTGGTTGAAAACTACAAATAATACCGGGTTTTTCACACAATGTAAAGGGCAGTGGGAGATTTTATTAAAACACTGTTGATATACACACACATGAACACAGGTGTTCAAAAGTTTAGGGTAAAGTTTTCGATAAAAAAGTGCAAAATGTATGAAATTATTCTTTTATAATCCTACTGCACTACACAGATTTTTTCAAAGCTAGTTAATGACTGAGAAAGCTGTAAAATATTGAGAATAAAGTTTAAATATAATTTATCCAGGATGGTTTAAAATGTGATCAAGAAATTACTATAAATAAATAATGGCAGTATACCCTGTAAAAAATTGGAATAAAATAACACAAATTATTAAAATGATCAGTGATTTAAAACTTAATGCTAGTGAATACTAGTGTACATATACACACAGACACACAAATACACATATGCATGTATTCTGTCCTGTCAGTTTCTGCCCTCTGCTCTATAACCATAGTCTTGCATTCTAAAAGTAGTCATAAAAGTATGACTGTGCCAATAGATCAGCCTGTCCCGTTTAGACATTGTTCTTGAAGTCTGTCCTCATTTGTGAAACCTAAGCTAAGCTGCAGTGTGATGTCTCAGCACAGTGTATGAGTGCAGCAGCAGTGGCGACAGTGTGAGGCCTAAGCCATGGAGTCTGAGCTGGAGGAGGATGTGGAGAGCTCGTGGACTGTGCTGTCCTGGCTGGCCTCTTGTGTGATGGTGTTTGGGGGGGCCGTGCCTTACATTCCTCAGTACCAGGAGATCCAGCGCACCGGCAACACAGAGGGATTCTCCACCCTGTGTCTGTCTGGTCCTGCTCATTGCCAACATACTGCGCATTTTCTTCTGGTGAGTAGAGGTGGAAGGCGTCTGGGCTCTCGGCACAGGTACAGCTCAGGAGTGAAATCATATGTAGGTCAACTGGGGCGATTACATACAAGAGGTGACTGTCACTAAGGAAAAGTGCTTTTGGTCAGTCTGCATTTTCATTTTGCATATAACATGATTTATAAGTAAATTGGTAATTGGACAACCAAATGTGCCAATGTAACATTTAATCATGTTACATGTTTTGAAGACTAACCTAAACTGGTGTTTTCTTGTGTGATATGTAGGATGAGCCTGTTTTATGTGCTCTTGTAGGTTTTTACTTTGGTGCCCTTGTAATGTTCTTTCAATGCCATCTTATGGAATGGAAACCTTGTTTTGATTTCTAAACATGCCCGGGGACAGCAGATGAAAATGATTCATTTGGCTATATCTGGCACGTTAAACAGTGATACTGATTGGTGTGTATTGTCCCTGTTTAGTAAAGTAAAAAGAATCAAACAAAAACAGGTGCACTTAAATGGAAATTCCATCAGTTTTTCAAAACTTAAAGTATAATACCGTAACTGAGATATAAACAAAGTCATTCAGAGTGGTTTGATGTGAAATGGTTCTTTGTAGGGAAGCGTACAGACAGTGATTTATTTACTGTGGTGGTGACTGGAACTGGGGTCATGATGTCTACAGCACAAATATAGCCAACCATTTTATTTACTATCCAGAACAACCAGTGAACTAATGATTTTCTGAGTTAGTGGTAAATCTGAAAATAAAGTTGACCTTAAAGCACTCTGCTTTACCTCTCCACCATAGATGAAATTAAAAAAATACATTTGAGGCCAAGACTTTCCCAGAACTATTGTAAAACAGTGTCTTAGCGCAGCTGTAACCATTTCATGCATTCATGTATAAAGATTTTAGACGCATTAAACCCTCCAGACATCTGGTGGCAGTCACTAACACTGTAAAGAACACTGACTCTGTAAGTTTCTCTGAAAAGGAGCATTTCACATCAGACCACTCTGAATGAAGTTGTTTACATTTTAATCACTTATTTATGTAGAAATTTTGAAAAGTGGGAAAAAAGTGGCATTTTCATTTAATGGTGTATTCAAATACACTTAGTCACACTGTTCTGATCTGATTTTCATTGGTGTAGTGATGACACATTACTACTATGTATCAGTAAACGGCTGCATGTTTTTTATGAATCAGTTTTGAGTACAGTGAGAGTTAGAGGTGTAGAAGAGCAGGGGAAGCACAGTTATATGTAACGTTTGACAGTAATAACGCACTATATGTACTGTTTGTGTTGTTTCTCTGCAGGATTGGGAAGCAGTTTGAGCTGACCTTGCTTCTGCAGAGTGTGGTGATGATTCTAACCATGTTAGCAATGCTGCACCTCTGCTGTGCCATCCAGAGTACCAGCCGGGTCAGCACCAAACAACACCGCATCACAGGTAATGAGGTTTGTTATATGGTATTCTCTACACACTAGCACATCATATATAATCTCCTACAGGTCATGAAACTACCCCATTATTATACTAGAATCGTAAACAAAAAGCTCCACAGCAGAGGTACGCTGAAAAAAGTGGTGCATTGAATTTACTCAATTCAAAAGTGTAAAGTGTACTCAATTCAGTCATCTCACTCAATAAAATATGACACCAGTGCAATTATTGCCGAAAGTAAGTGAACTGAAAGAGAACATTGTTCTCAAGAGAGTGTTGATGTAATATGTTTTATTCATGTGGAAATATTTTTTTCACATTTGAGTCAAATAAATTCCTTTTTTTCCCAGTATAACAAAGTATTCAATTCAATCGTCCATCCAGCAAATGAACATCTAATCACTGTTCAGTCAAGATCTATCAGACCTTCTTCCTTGTTATTTTGCACTGCTTTTGAGTGCTCTAGTTCTACCAAAAGAGGGTGCCATGGCACTGAGAATGGCATTATTGAAGGCTGGATCGGTTTCCTTCTCCCTCATCTGAGCTCAGCTCTTTTGTTCAACTCTTGCCCTTAGTCAGTGATTCTTCTATATTCATCTTTTGACTCATCTTTTTGTTTGTAAACACTCTCTATGATCACACGGCCTGTTTGAAATTACAGTAATTTTATGCAGCAAGTTATGGATTTAATAAATTTGGATCAGTATTTAATGTTAATACAGCAGCCAAAACCTTTGAGAAGTTGCAGAATTTACAGTATCCAAATGGCCCAGTTAGATTTGCAATAAAGCAAGTTATTTATTGGATTAAAAGGGAATTCCACTATATTTTTTTAACTGATTTTTTTTTCACTTTCTGCATAATTTAAATTGTTAATATGTAAGCCATTCAGAGGGTACATTGCTGTAAAAAGTACCATTCTAGAGAAACTTTCTGAATCAGGATTGTTTACAGTGGTGGTGAAAGGAATCAGACGTCCAAAGTGTTTAATGTCTCTAATAGCTACCCTCACAGGAAGCTATTACATGAAATTGTTATGAATACACTCTCTGATTCCTGATAGTTTTGAAATATGTTTTTGGCCTAAAACATATTTTTAATCCTTTTAGCAGAGCAAAGAGGTGTTCTAAGGCAAGTTTGTCCAAAGGCAATTTTTTCCCACTTAATTTGGCTATATTTGCATCATAGATAAGCATTCTGCCCAATGACTGCTGGGATAGGCTCCAGCTCCCACCCCCCTGTGACCCAGAAGGATAAGCGTTTTTTTTGTGTGTGTGTGTGTGTGTGTGTGTGTGTGTGTGCATCATAGATAGAACTAAATTATGTGGAAATTAAGTTAAATCAGTGTAATTCCTCTTTAAACTTGGCGTCAGGTTTGGCAATGTAATCTTCAGTTTTTTGTTCAGAGGCCATCTTGTCATGTTGCTCAGGAAAACACACCTGCAGCCTTTTACTTTTTAAATCTGTTATTATTGTCCTGATTTGTTGGGGGTAGCACCAATACAGAACTGAAGAGCACTATGAATAATTCAGCAGACTTTGATGCTTGCATAATATTTCCTTCACTAACAGAATATTTGTTTATAGTCTACTCCCACAAGGCCCCAGAATTAGTAAGGCTGTCCAGCCTGGTTTCAGTCAAGCTCTATTCAAGTTAATGTCCTGTCTGGGGTCATATGCATTTGATACCACAGTGGGAGCTGGTGTGCAAAGCTGTGCAGAAGGCCATTCGTTTGTGATCGAGTTCAGCTGACTCAGCTGTCACCTCTGGGACATTACAGCAGCCTGAGAAAGAGCGTGACTGGTTGCCCGCGGCCAGTCAGGTCTTGTGCTCTGTGTTTAGAGTGTGAATGTTTTGCAACTGCTGAGACTTGTTCGGGAAAGGGCAGCCAAGTTCATACGGGGTCAGTTTAGTATAGTGATGATTTATAGTGAATTCAGGCCCCAGCTGATTGGCTTTTCTCTGTGTGCAGCAGGAGGCTCAATCTAAGTCAGCTTTTTATGAGTCCACTGCCTGGGAGGGAGATGGGATGATGAAATTGTGTAATATAGGAATAATTAGAGAGTGGAGTGTGGAATCAGGCAGCAGCCTAATTTACCTGTCGTGCTGATTGATTGGACTGCAGAAGTCAAAGTTCTCATCTCAGTGTTTGTATGATTTTTCTCAGTTTGCTACATCATGCCGGTGGCACTGTGTGCGTGTCTGTCTGCACTGTTGATTTGAATAGCATCTGTGTGTGTGTGTGTGGTTGTTTGTGGCCCTGCCTGCCTGTGCTGTGTGTGTGTGGGGTGGGGGGTTTCAGGACCAATTGGTTCACTGTGTATACATTTGGGATTGATATTGTGTGTACTTGTGTGCTTGTGGGGCTGTGGTCAGCTTGTACACTGCGTACAGTTCTGTGCGAAAGTAAGTAACCACCCCTCATTTCTTTCGTTTCCAGCCACAACGATCATTAAGTACAATTTTTTAGAAGATATTCTGACCAGGTTAGGTATAAGATAATTCACATGCAGAAGGAAGGGTAAAGTCAAAGAACAATAAGTGAAAAACAGAAATTGTTTAAAACTGGAATTCAAAAAAATATTAAAAGATATAGAGAAAAGGGGACTTCTACCAACTGTGGGCCTGATAGACCACCAACACTGGCCCCATCAATAAACAGTACTTAAAGCTTTCACTTTTGAGAGATAAGAGAAAATCAAGCTCCGCCTTTACTTCAGATCTAAAAAAATACAAAGGTGTTTGTTTATTATTCCACTGTGAGAAGAAAACTCAAAGCTGAAGAGTCTGAAAGGATATTCTGTTGTCAAGAAGCCGTTACTGAGAGAACTTTTGTCCCAAGATGTGTAAAATATCCCTGCAGATTTCTTTGAAAAACTCATGAAAAGAGCGGAAGCTCTAAAAAGGTAAAGTGTAGGCACACTAAATGCTGAAATGCTAAAAGCTGAAAATGTGATACTATATTTAGTTGTTAAGACTTGTATATAATTTTCTGTTAAACATGTTTCTGCTTTTATCCTTACTCTGATTTTGATGTAGTACTACATAATCTTGCAAAACTGAGGGCGCTCAGACAGCTGTAGGTGCACATTAGAGCATGTATGACTTGTATATTAGAAATGCAGGGGTATGGGGAAAAACTGTACAAATACAGTAATCAACTGTTTTCTAATTGTTACAGTATATTGTGTGTGTGTGTGTTTTTGTGTGTGTGTGTGGATCTAGATCAGCTTGTACATGTGTTTGTTTGGAACTGTTTGTGTGTGTCATTGTGTGGGGCAGTATTGTTTTTATGTGTGTCGCATTTGGGACTGATGAACTGCGTGTGTATCTGTGTGTGTGCTTGTGCTCTGAGTGTATCAGTAAAGTCCTGAGTTGATTGTATCTTGTGTGTTTCATTTCCTGGCTCTGCTGCTTTGAGGAAGTAGTTGGAGTTGCTGGCTTCCAGTCTGTCCCTGTCTACAGCCTAAATGCCTGGACTGCAGCCTGCAGGGCCTCCAGCTCCACAGCCTCTATTTCAGCGCTAGCTCCTGTGTATATATGAACTCAGCTGCCAGGAACATACCATAGATCCAAACGAGCCCCCCTCCTCACTCGCCTGAGATGTTCATTGGCTATGAATGTACTGGGACTGCAAACTCCCTTTCCCAGCGGCCATGCTACGTTTCATATCCAGAGCAGCCGTGAAGGGCAAGGGGTTACCCAGGACAGGCCAGCATTTTGTGTCGCTCTGTAGGAGTGCCTCTGTGGTAGTCAGGGTGTCTGGTTACTGTGGGGGGGGACAGTTGGGAGGGGTGGGTTGGGTCCAGAATAGCCCGGAACGCCCCCCTCTATAGAGTACAGGCAATCTGAGAGCTTTCTATTCATGCACTATATCCCACCAGCAGTATACTGCAAATAGACCCGGGGGGGGAGGTTCCACAAAGCAGGATTTCTCAGTTAACCCTTAGAAGTGAGAATGGCAGTGGTGACAATTGCATGTTGCACGTTACTATTTATATTTATTTACAATACTTATTATAGACCACGTTGCTAACTGAACCAAGCAGAGACATTTTGTCAAAAGTGCAGATTCTTTAATAGCACATATGTAGCCTAGTAGTAGTTATAAGAGATATTTGATTATTGTCTAAAATTGACGAATTATTGTGAATACAATCTTATTTGGGAGAAAGAACGAACATCCTCTACATTTAGTTCAATTTTCTTGTCTTTTTTTTAAGTTGAATATATTTAGATGTTGAACGGATTTGAACCTGTTCATACAGAATGTAAAAATAATTGATTAATTAATTGATTATCTAACTAAAAGTAAATATGTAATTTTAAGGGCACAGCAAACGACAGTAGTAACTCTGGACTTGTGAGGGTTAAGCAGATTGATTAATCAATTAAGCCAAAAGCAAGGACTGTCCAATAGGAGGAGAGCTATGGGCTAGTGTTGTAAAGGGCACTAGAGGCAAGTCAGGACCTGGACACTTTGAGTCCAACTCGAGACCAAGATTAAAAGTGGGGAGACCGAGACAAGGCCAAGACCAGGTTAAAATTTTTTTTCCCCACAATATAAAAATAAAAGAAGAAACGGGGGGAAAAACATAAAATTCTTTTGTAGTTCATTGTACAATCATTGCCATTCATTATACAATAGTACTAATAAATAATATTATATAAATATTAAATATTATAAATCCTATAATCTTTCCAAGTATGAAATTTAAGTCCATATATGCACTTATTTAAGCGCATCTTAATCGATGCTTAGCAAGTCTTTTGTCGCTACTACTACTGTTGATGATGCTGATTTTACATTATTATCACTGTAGTGGTATAAATACACCGAGCATCTAATAAACATTTTAGCTTTCACTTGAATTAAATAAACTTATATTTAACAGTAGAATTGCATGGGACACATATAGCATTTGTGTTTCTGCTGAACTCAAGTGAGGCTTTTGCAAGTGAAGTGCTGAGCAGTTCATTCTGTATTCTCAGTGGATTTGTTTGG